TGAAAGTATTAGCTTTTATTTATTTTTTTTGGATTTGAGATAATTAGAATAATTAATATGAGATAATAAAGATTGAATAAAGTGGTATATGAGATAATTTTGAAATATATTTTCTTCAATTATTTTGTGCCTTGGTCCTTTGGAAACATTAATTGCTATTACCTCCATTGATTTAGAGGCAAAGCCCTTTTGATCTTGGCGAGGACACATTTCTTTTCGATTTCGATTAAAGTCATTTCGTCAGATTTTCGGTTGCTAAAAGTTCATATATATATATATATATATATATATATATATATATATATATATATATATATATATATATATATATATATATATATATATATATATATATATATATATATATATATATATATATATATATATATATATATATATATATATATATATATATATATATATATACTACGTTTTTAAGGCAAGATCGTACTTATTTAACCTTTAATTTCATAACTTACGCCTTAAAACTCATATGGACCAAGCTTTTTTGGAAGCGAGATTATGAAAACAATTAAAAAAGACGAATACTAAATTAGTAATAAAACGGGAGAAATAAACAAACTCAACGAAGTTAAGAAAATACACCAAATTTCTATTATTATTTATTAATTACTATTTTTCATAGTAACTTCGGAAAATTAAGAGACGGTGATTATTTTTATGGAAAAACTAGTTTTTTCTTCTTGTTTTCCACAATTTGTTCGTATCGGTTTCAGGGTATTTTAGTTTATTTCAAATCATTGATTATTTCGTCATTTCATTTAAGTTTAATTTCGTTCGTATACAATTTTTTTTTTTTTTGTATACAGACGGGCAGTTCTTGCAAAAACCCCATATTAATAGGGTAACTTACCAAAACCCCCCGAACGAACATTTAATTACCAAAAACTTCTCTCAAGTATCGATAATTACCAAAATCAAATTCTCCGACTAATGTTAACCAACTTTCTTAATAGAAAAATATGTAATGTCTATAACGCCCATAAGTTAAAAAAAGCAATCACTGTATCTAACATACAACATCACGTAAATATTTTACAAGACGAAACAATTTATGCTCTTTAATATATACTCGAGTAAAAGATTAAATTAAATATGCATGGATTTATTTATTTATTTATTTATTCACTCCATCATAAATTAAATTTACATATATCTCATTGTAATAATGCAAATTTCTCAAGCTGCTTAGGTTTATTTTGGTAATGATTTACAAGCACATCATATTTGTGTTCAACACCTTTGCTAGTTACTTTGATGATGAGATGTATATGCCCCACTCCCTTAACTAATTCGAAGTTCCCTTCAACCACGCTACGAAATACGAAAGACGTGCGATGCTTTTTATTGTATTCACTCACCGCAAACTTGCCGTGTACGACTGCGAACGGGAGTGTGGGGTCGATGGTGCGGGCGGAGGCTTGAAAAATGTTGCCATATAGGATCAAATAGAGGAATGTGATTAGCACACTAATGCATTGAAACTTAATTAGACCCATTTTTATTTTATTTTTAATTATTTTTGATTATTTTTTGTGCTGTGATATGATGTTTTAGTGTGCTAAGCATTTATATATACATATATAGAGATTTGCATGAGTTTAAATGCATATTGCTATATTGCTTTCTCAACATTTGTAGTGCCTAATATGATGGACTTACAAAATGATTAGCTTGTTTTTGGGATTTGAGATAATTGAAATTAATTAAGGAGATAATGAAGACTTAATAACTTTGATAATTATGATTTTTTTTTTAATAAATCCCTTCTTATTTATATGTGCCACGTGGGAATGTGAGAGATTATGTTGTAGAATTTTATTTTTAATTTTAATTTTTTTGGTAATATATTTGAAGTTATAATAATTTTTAGTAGGAAAATCACGTTTCTATCTCTCCTTATTTTTCTCTTTCCCTATATTTTCTTTATGTTGGGTTATTTTAATAAAAACAAAATATTTTATTATGAATTATAATAATGACTTTGACCACTTTTATTAGGGTCATTAGACCAATATTTTGAAACCTTCAAAGTCATTATTCTCCTACATAAAACACCATAATTTCTATATTTAATTGAGGTTTTATGGGGTTATATTATACATTATATAAAGGGGATATTGTGGTTTTGATGTAGAGTGAAGAGAAAGAAAAAAAAAAAAACACTTTTCTTATATACTATATACATATATTTTGAGCTCTTGTTGTATGTCGGGTGTAAGCTTCTACTTCACTCGAACGTGCCATTTCGCTGAAGTTACAGCGGAGAGATAGGCTGGGCTGTTGTATCCCATAGACGACACGATCGGAACCTTTTTGCACCTCATTAGAGAAGGGGTCGTGAAATTCGTCTTAAGAGAGCGACCTAATCCGCGCCTCACCTTGCCTATCTCCATATTATTGTGTATATTATTGCAGCTAATTATCAACTATGAAAAGAGAGAGCAAATAGAGGACGAGATTCAATCCGCCAATTTGGTGATCAATCGTCAAAGTGCAGCCCAAGTTCCAACAATTTAAGACGAACCTCCAAAGCCGTGAAAATGAACTTTGGCGATGATCTAAAATAGGAGACATTTCAGCCCTCGATATGAAAAGGGAGATGATACGTTCCATTTTTATATTTTGATTTTTAGTTGACGAAAAAATTAATGATCTTATCATTGTTGTAGGTGAATTTTTGTGCGATTCACGAGTTTATACTTTAAGGCCAGATTCTGACATGGTAATGTACGAATTTGAGAATGTGTAAAACACAAAAGCTTTAGGAATTTCTGTTGGCTGTCCGAAACATCTTGAATCACTGAAATCGGACATCGAACGAGAGAGATATGCTCCAAATACTGAGCACTGCTGCAGCTGCCAAATTATGCGCGTTTTTGAGGTACCGAAAGAATTCATAACTGAAAATTATCTAATGAGGTATATTCTTCGTGTCTACATTATTTATGATGTTTTTTCAATAGTATAATAATAGTGCATGATAAGTATATGATCAAAAATATGTCGTGACTTGAATAAATAATTAATTAGAAAATTCATCATATTTGATGTCTTAGCATATAGTCGACTTCGTTTATATAGCATATGCAATACACTCATGAATTCTAACTGGATAAAATATCATATGTTTGACCATCATCAAAATTATATAAATTGCACGAGCCCTATTCGGTGATGCATGAGAAAATAAATAATAGAAGTACAATTAAATAGTTCTCCACTCTTCAATTAAATGGTTCATATAATATTAATCTCTTAATTCATTTCCATTTCGCAAAACAAACAACATTTTTTTCTGAAAATCGTGTTTTTGGCTCTTCAATCGGAGGTTTTGCACTTAATCAAATCAGAGCAGACCCCGGCCAGTTCCTGGTTAAATCGGTCCGACCGGCTAGTCCGGTCCGATTTTCAAAGCATTGGGGCTAATAAACCATTATATATTAGGATGACTCACCAAAATTCCAAAGAATATTCACACTCCCTAGCTCATTAATTCCAATTTTATTTATCGTTCAGAGAATTTTTTATATTTCAAAATAGTTGTCACTTTAGAATTCAAATGAAACATTTATTGTACTTTTCTCAATCTCGCCCCTACTCTCAATTGAATTAATGGCAAAATAATTAACGAGATGGTTTTTCTAAGTCATTTAGTAGAATTTCTCTACAATCAGTGCACATCTATTAGCTTCCATATATAAATACATATACATCAGGCCCAAAACGGCCAATAAAATGAGAAGTAGGGAGTAATAATTACCAACAGCTAACCAAATTTCTTAGCAGGAAAATATGCAATGTCTATAATACCCTTCACTTTTTATTATTAATTTTTTTTTTCTATTATAATAAATAGGTGGTCATGCTAAGGGAAATTATATGCTACACCTGGTGAATATAACCAGGCACCCTAATTAATAAGATTTCCACTATGGGTTCAGTTATGGCCCAATGAGTTTTAGAAATATAATTATAAAATAAATAAAAAAAGGACACATGTCAAGAAAAGAGCCACCCGGTGAAAATCACCGGGTGTAGCATCGTATTCCCGTCATGCTAATAATACAAAGGCATGTAACTCCTTGGTTTTATTAGGGTAATGAATTAAGTGTGCATTATATTTGTGGGCAACATTTCCATTGATAGCTTTGAGGGTGAGATGTATGTGCACTTTCCCACCGGTTGTCTCAAAAGATCCTTCCACCACGTTAAGAAATAACAAAGATGTGTGTTGCCTTTTATTGAATTCGCTCACCGCAAACCTCCCGTTTTCAACCGCCACCACGGTTTTCGGCCCGATTTTCCCGGCCGAGGCTTCTAATATGTTGCCGGATAAGATTAAACACACAACTGTTGTGATTAGCAGACTAATACATTCAAACCTAATTGAACCCATTTTTTTTTTTTTTTTTTTTATGTTTTTTGTCTATGATTTTATGTGACACTTCACAAGCCTTGTATATATATACTTGAGAGAGAGAGAGAGAGAGAGAGAGAGAGAGAGAGAGAGAGAGAGAGAGAGAGAGAGAGAGAGAGAGAGAGAGAGAGTTTAGAGACTTGCATGAATTTCAATGCATGTAGCTTTCTCGACAATTGTACTACGTCGTATGATGGACTTGTGAAAAGATTAATTATCCTTTTTTTGGATTTGAGGTAATTAAAATTAGGGGTAATATGTTAGACACCCCTTAAATCAAACCTAATTAGATATTGGGGACAACCTCAAATAGAATAGTTTAACTAAATCCTTATTTTTAAATAATATTTGAACCACATCCTTTGATTTTAATTTAACCCGAAAATACCCTTAATATAATTAATAAAAAAATCACATGTATCTTTTTCTCCTCACCCTAATTTCTCCGCCGCCCACCCACCCCTTTTCTCTCAACCGTAACACACACTCTCTCAAAGACAGAAAATAAATATTTTGAGAAAACTAGCAAACTTGTGAAATTGCAAAAATTAAAGAAGGATTAAAGATAAGAGATCAGAGGATCTAAAGAGCAGAAGTATAGAAGTTGTGGTTGACTGGGGCGGCGAGTTGTGGTGGTCAAGGCGGCGGACTGTGGTGGTCGAGATCGCGGCGGGCTGTGGTGGTCAAGATGGCGGCGAGCGATTGTGGTGGTCGAGGCGACGGCGGGGGGCTGTGGTGGTTGAGGCGGCGGCAGCGGGCTGTGGTGGTCAAGGCGGTGGGCTGTGGTGGTCGAGATGGCGGCGAGGGGTTGTGGTGGTTGTGGCGGCGGAGATATGGTTATGGAGGAGATGTGATCTGGGTTTTCCAACTGTTGGTAGGTGACGACGAGAGCGACGGCTGCAGATCTTGGCCGCTTGGGTTTGAAGGTTGCTGCGTTGACGGCTAGGGTTGTGTGTTGTTGGCTGCTAGGGTTTGATTGTATACCGTAGTAGACCATAGAATACCGTAGTATACCGTACCATAGTCTACTATAGTATTACAATAAATAAAATATTAAATAAATATATATATATATATATATATATATTGAATTTACAAAAACGAAAAACAAGTTTAGTTTTGTAATTTTTAATAATACTGTAGAATTTTTTTTTTGATAATAGTGTAAAAATGATAGTACACCATAGAACAACATAGTACATCATAGTATACTATAGTATTTTTAAAATCTGCTGAATTATTTAACAAAAAGAAGAAAAAAAAATCGTAATTTTCAAAAAAATGTTATAAATAAGGAAAAAAATTATTTATAATAATGTAAAAAATGCATACTGAAAATTGAAAAAATAAAAATGAGTGAAAGGGCATTTTTGGAATGAATTTAATAAAGGATGTGAAACAAATGTTTAGTTGAGCTTGTCATTTAGTTTTAATTAATTTTGTCACTAGGGACCTATATCTTAAGACCCCTTAAAATTAAGGAGGCAATTTTATCTTTCTATTTTTATTTTCTTTTGGAACTTTTTTGAATGCACAAAGTGAAAAAAAAATGCTCACTAAATTAATTGGAAGCTATTTTTAAATTTTCTCACCTAAAAGAAAATAAGAAATTTCATATATTTTCTCGAATTTGTGAAAATATTTGCTAGTTATTTTCTTAAATGAAAATGGCCGAAGGAATTTTTTTTACACTCGACACAGCACAATTTACATAAATATATTGAAAAAAATAAAATTATTATGATTCATTACGTCAATGGTGTCAAATTTAGTGAAATTTTATAGATTATGTGTAATATTCTGTTGTTTGTGCCAATTTTACTCCATTCAAGCTCCACGCTTTGAAACATGGTGATCATAAGACGTGTCTGTTGACTTGTAAATATCAGATTGTAGTGCATCAAAAACTTCATTTTTGCACAAAACGAGTAAAAATTGGAGAATATTTCTCATAATCTAAAATATTATGTTGAATTTGACCCATAAGAGCGGTGATCGTAATTTACCTGAAAACAATATTGTTAAGAATTTGTAAAATAAGTTTCAAGTCATTTGATGCAGTTTTTTTCCCATTGAAAATACCACTATTAAAAAACTATCCTCATTAAATTATAAATATTCTAACAGGGTACATGATTTATTATGTTTTATGGTGCAAACTCCTATTAAAAAAAAATTTAAAGGTGCAAAAAGTGCTAAATAACTATAATCCAGGGTTCGAAGTGTAATTAAGCCGTAATAAATTTATGAAAATTACCCAAAACTCTATTCACGTGCCTATCACGTGCCTACAGTTCTTGAGGATAATTGACAATCAAAAAAACATACAACTCCTCTGGTGTTGCTCTGCTCCACTCCCCCCAATTCTTCAAGAGTTGTCCGAAAAATTAAATTCTCAATTTTCATCCGATGAACTTTTGACTTAATTCTCTCTCTCTCTCTCTCACTCTCTCTCTCTCTCTCTCTCTCTAAACAAATGGATAGTCTCACTCTCACCGCCACCGCCACCGCCACCGCCACCAGGCTCTCCTCCGTTCAATTATTTTCGCAACCCTTTCTGAATTCCAGCAAGAACTCAAGAATTCAGACATTCCCTTATCCTTACAGAAAACCCAGAAAATTTTCGGTTTCTGCATCGAAAGATGAGTCGAAACTCAACGAGTGGGATCAAATGGAGCTCAAATTTGGACGGATGATTGGCGAAGACCCCAAACTCACCTTAACAAAGGTCCCTCTTTTTTTTTTTTTTTTTTTTTTAATGTTGAAATTTCTGAATTGGGATTAAAAAGATTAATTTTTTTTTTTTTTGCTTTATAGTGTTGAAATTTCTGAATTGAGATTAAAAAGATTGATTTTTTTATTTTTTTTTGCATATAATGTTGAAATTTCGGAATTGGGATCAAAAAGACTGATTTTTTTTTTTATTTTTTTTTGCTCTATAATGTTGAAAATTTGGAATTGGGATTAAAAAGATTGATTATTTATTTATTTTTAATTTTTTTTAAATTTATTTTTTAATTTTATTTTAGTGATCAAGAGTATGTGAAAGGAGATTGTTTTGAAAGTTGAAAGGAGATTGATTAAAAAGATTGATTTTTTATTTTATTTTGCATTATAATGTTGAAATTTTGGAATTGGGATTAAAAAGATTGACTTATTTCTTTATTTTTTTTTAATTTTATTTTAGTGATGAAGAGTATGTGAAAGGAGATTGTCTTGAAAGTTGAAATGGTTATGATAATCTCTGAGTTTATTACATTTGTAGTGCATAAATTGCATTTGGTGCTGCTTATTTAGGTAATAAAGAAGATAGTTTTTTTTTTTTTTTTTCTTGCCGATTTTTTTAATTTGTCATGATTTTGTGTTAATTACTTTTTCAGTATGGAAATGGGAGAATTAATTAATATTCATGAAAGATTGAGTCAAAGTTTTCGATTGTTCGACATAATGTTTTTGTTTTCTAGTAAGGATAAATAAGCGTTGAAGTACATCGTAAAGATTATAACAACAATCGTATATAATGTTCTGTCCATTCGTTGAACTTTTGCTGCATTTTCTTGAAATTACAGTGTTCGTGTAGGTTCTTTAATATAAAACTTCTGTTCATTTTATTTTTTTATTTTTTTCAGATTATGGGTAAGAAGTTATATCCGGACATGTCTAATATGGAAATCGAGAAATTACTAGAAAAGAAGAAAGGCAACTGGATTCAAGAAATCGAGGAGGTCCCCTTTGACTTTGGTCCATCCGACAAAAAGAACCCGACAAAAGAATCCGTGCCGGGATTGAATTTAGTTCGACCCGTTCTAAAAAAAGGAACCAAGTTCGAAGAATCTAATAAACCAGTCGAAGAAGATGCCAAAAAAAATCCCACTCAACCAATTAATTTATTCGACGAAACGAAGCCCGCAAAACCCTTGCAAGGACTGAATTTAGTTCGTCCTGTTCTGAACAAAGGAACGAAGTTTCAGACGAGTAACAAACCAGTCGAAGAAAAGGCTCGAAATTCTACCGCCCAATCAATTACAGAGGTTGCAAAAGAGACTAAAACGAGCGTTCCGAATGTTATTTTACGAAAACCGAGTTTGTTTAACGATGATGATGATGATGATGGTAGTGGGAATAGCAAATATTCGATGTTCGGAATGAAGCCGAACTTGACGTTGAAAATGGGGAAAGTGGCGAATAGAGAGAGGTTTAGTGATATGACGTTGTTGAAGAAGCCCGAGCCGAGGACAGTTAGCGAAGAACCTATTGATGGCAAAGATGTAATTAATGACGAAGTCGGAGGTGGTGATAAGAGTCTAGAAAATGGTGCCACGCTTCTACAGAAACCGGAGTTGACGAAGAAGCTCGAGGGAAAAGAAGAGTTGACTAAGAAGCCTACTGTTGAGTCTAGCTCGAGTGATATTTCCACGTCGGGTAATCTCGACCAATCGAAAGACGCTGGGGAAAATGAGTATGGATCGGGAATAGGTAAATTTGCTTAGTTTTGCAGTTAAAGACTCTGTTTTTATGGTACTATTGAATGATTAATTAATACCGATTTTTTATTATTAAAATATGTTGGTTCTTTTTCAAGAATTACAGGCTCCTATGTCGTCTAAGGATACTGTACTTATAGGAAAACCGAAAAGGTAATGCGGCATCTCTCTCTCATTAAGACTCTCTCTCTCTCTCTCTCTCATTAAGGCCCTCTCTCTCTCTCTCTGATTAAGATACTGTGTTATATAGATTAGAACGCACCGTTGATAAAGCAACAGATGAGAGAATAAGAGAGGAGGTGATTCCCATGAATCGTCGGAGCTTAGGGAATCCGTTAGAGCTCGAGAACTTCATTACAACATCACCAATTAAGGTATCTAATCTGATTTCTTTTCTTTTATTTCTAGTAAACATAATCCGGTTGTTGACTTTTTCTCGTTTAGGAACGGGAGGATGATGACTGGACTAGAGCTGAAGAGCTGGTTAAGACGGGCGAAAGAGGCGATGTGGAATTGATTAGCTCGAGTAGTAGAGGATTTGTTGTGAGTAATAAATAACTTAAAAGAGTCGGTAATTTGCTGATTTAGTTAGCATTCTAACTTTTTTACGATCAATTTTTTGTATTTTAATTCGGGGTTTTGTGTGCAGGTGTCGTTTGGCTCGTTGATTGGATTTATACCTTACCGGAATCTTGCCGCGAGGTGGAAGTTCTTGGCTTTTGAGTCTTGGTTGAGAAGAAAAGGCGTGGACCCCATGATTTATAGGCAAAACCTCGGTATAATCGGATATGAAGCTAATACCACAACGGATGCATCGGAATCGATTTTGGATTCGGAAATCGGTAGTCAATTAGAAGGGGCAATAACTTCGGATATGAAACTTGAGGAACTTCTCATGATTTACGATCAAGAGAAACTCAAATTCTTGGCATCTTTTGTTGGTCAGGTTCGGATAATCGGACTTTGAATTTTAAAAAAAAAAAAAAAAAACCGGAATTATTTTAATTTTTAATTTTTAATTTTTTTTTGCTTGCAGAAAATTAGAGTGGGGGCAACATTGGCCGACAGAAATTCTCGGAGGCTAATATTTACGATAAAACCGAAAGAGAAGGAAGAATTGGTTGGAAAAAAACGAAGCCTCATGGTAAATGTTATGTCATAGTTAGCTAATTTCAAATTTAAAATGTGATATTTTCCGGAACCCTAATTTCAAAAATTTAAATCCCTTTACGGCTTTTTATTACAGGCGCGATTGAGTGTCGGAGATATAGTCAAGTGCTGCATTACAAAGATCACGTATTTTGGTGTCTTTGTCGAGGTGAATCACATTTTTTTTCCGACACTTATAAATAGGGTTATAAATATAAATATTTAATTTTGAAAAAAAAAATCGGAATTTAGGTTGAAGGAGTACCTGCACTAATTCATCAAACAGAAGTTTCGTGGGATGCCACATTGGATCCAGCATCGTATTTCAAAGTCGGCCAGGTATTTATAATTTACAATTTTAATTTCTATTTCGAAATTTATAATGCTCGTGTTTTATATCCTAAGAAGCATCATTTTATTTATATATTTATTTTTATTTTTTTGGCAGATTGTTGAGGCAAAAGTTCACCAATTGGATTTTTCGCTGGAACGGATATTTTTGTCTTTGAAGGAAATAACGGTAACTATATATTTCTTTTCAGGTTGTAAATGAGATTATGGTATTGATGAAGGAGTTTATAATAAATAATAAGAATGTTGTTATTGCAGCCAGATCCTCTGATAGAGGCATTGGAGGCTGTGGTTGGTGATTATGAATCCTTGGATAGTAGACTCGAAACAGCTCAGCCGGATACCGAGGTTATATTTAAATATATTTATAAAATTATAAATATTTACATTACATGCATTTTTTCGTAGTTCCGTGTGAAATTAGCATTTTCGAAAAATATCTATTTTTTTCCGGAAGTAAAAAACTGATCCCGACTCCGTTCCAGAAAAAAAGAAAATCGGAAAAGTTGAAAATTTTAGAGCGATTATTTTTTTCCAAAGTTGGAAATTTTTTGATCGAAATTGGCGGAATTTGGAAATTTAATTTTAATTTCTACCCTAATATAAACAAATATTAATATTAGTAGTTTTAATTCTAAGATACTTTTGCAAGTATGTTCATAAATTAAAACCGGATTGGAAATCAGAATTCATATATAATTCCGATTCCGATCCAAAAAAAAAATCCGAATGAATTTCTTTTATTCCAAAGTCCGAATATTTTGTATAGGTTTCAAAATTCCATTTAATTCAAAATCTTGACAATTTTTAGCTATAATTTTTTTCTCTTCGGTCCAGTGGGATGACGTGGAATCGCTAATCAAAGAACTAGAGATGTACGATGGAATCCAATCCGTTTCGAAAGGTCGCTATTTTTTGAGCCCCGGTTTGGCGCCAACTTTTCAGGTGAAGTCAATCAAAAACTTAAGTGTAATTAGCTATCTCATTAAACATAGGGCAAATTACGGCCACCCCTGAGTTATGGTCAAATTACAAAAACCTCCCCCTCCTGTTTGGGTGTAATTGTTTGGGTGATTACAGCCACCCCATCAACTATGTATTATCTTACGAAAATACCCCTCCAGAGGCAAATTTAGGGATGTTAAATTGGTACTACCGAACCCAAATTTCGGTACGCCAACATTTCATACCGTTTATGGAACTGAATATGATTTGGTTCGGTAAATATAACCGAATTACATAAATTTTATGCAAAAATATTTAAAAGGAGGGGTTTTTTCGTAATTTGGTCATACCTCCTCCGGAGTGGCCGTAATTTGCCCTTAAAAATATAAAAAGAAATTAATAATTCCGTCCACCTTTCAAATCGATGGTCTACTATCGTAGGTTTATATGGCATCTATGTTCGAGAATCAGTACAAACTCCTCGCCCGAGCTGGAAATAGAGTACAAGAGGTTACAACTCACTCCAATTTAATTTAATTTTTTTTTTTTTCGTTTTCTTTCGGTATATAATTAGATGAAAGAACACAAATCGAGAAATAATTCGGAAAAAATATGTGACTAATATTTCGTATTATAACTTGCGCAGGTAATTGTGCAAACTTCGTCACTAAGCAAAGACGAGCTGAAATCTGCTATAATGACCTGCACCAACAGGGTGGGTTGAATAAATTATCTGGTAGCTGAAATTAGCTTCGAAATTCTCGATTTTTTTTTTTACAATTTTTAAGTTAAGAAATCGTAAATTCGTTTTTTTACGAGAATTTATATTTAGTTCGTTAGCACATGTTGTAAAGTTCTCTCTTATGGTAAAAAATTATCTTCTGTTTATGGAAAGTGAAAAACGTGCGTGCAAACATGAGGGACCAAAACTATTAATAATAATTATTATTTATTTATTTTTTATTACAATATTTTTATTTATAAAATTGGAATTGAACCCAAAACTATTAATTAATGAAGAGGTGCTGGTGATGTTGCTATCATGCACCAATGCTCACAATAGCAAAACTTAGCATCAACTCCTGGAAATTCATCACAGTGTGCCCATGGATTAAGAGTACCAAAGTAATCAATGCACCATGATTTACACTGTTGTTCGGTGCACGTTAGTCCGCATACGCCTAATATACTTACACATGTATACCTGTATTTTTTATATATATTTTTTTAATTAGAAAAAATATAAATTAACAGAAGAAATCGAGAGAAAAACGAAAAACAAATGTATACCTCGGAGGAGGCCGTTCGGTATCTTTTATCGTCTGCATCACTTTATTTTCTAGCAAATCTAAATATTCATACACAAGTGTGTTTTTTTTTGTGAATAAATTAAATTATTAAATATTAAATATTTACCCCCGATTTATTTAATTTTAAGTTGTAGCATAACCCTCTTACCGTTTAAGGATGTTCGTGTTTTCTGAGCAATCGGAGGATTACGAGACCTACCGTTTGTCATTCGTATGCTTCGAATATCTGTAAATTAAATACTTTTAACTCAATGGATATGATCGGAATTACAATAAAAATCACACAAAAAACTACTAAAAGTAAATTATTTTCATCACCTTTGGTAATTATATATAATAAGCTAATTAAATATAATATATTATTATTTTTAAATAATCAATTTGTGGAAAATGTTTACCAGGTGCAAAGATGATGAAGGCTAGGAAAATCAAGAAACTCAAGGATTGTGGCGCCATGGTATTGTTGTAAGTTGATGCAAGTGTGCATTACTCCAACTCTTTTTTTATAGTTGATTTAAGCATTCTTTTTTATTTTATTTTTGTTTTGAATATTTTGATAATTTATTTAAATTTTGCTAATATTATTATGTATGAATTGTAAGTGGTCATGTACACATTAATTCATGCACAATGCTAGTTTTTTTTTTCTTCTTTTTGAATAAATTACAACAACCTACCTGTAATAAAGTTCATTTACGAAAAAACCATCATATTTGAGAAATTACATCCAAACCCCTATACTTTGTAAATTTCTTACATTCACCCCTATAGAAGGGTGTTAATGTAAGAAATTTACAAAGTATAGGGGTTTGGATGTAATTATGAAAAAATTAGGGGTATCTTCATAAATAGACGACGGTTGTAATTTACTTTCTTTTTCTTCAATTTATTAGCGTAATATGACTTGGATTTCATGGATCTAACATTAATTGTACCTAGCAATTCTTCTTGTGCGATGCACGAGGTAACATTGCAAAAAGAAAGAAAATTTGAATATATGATAATTATATTGTATTGAAACAATATATTACACAACATTGAAATAATTAGTTGTGAAATTTAAATTACTAAAAAAGAAAAATTGAATTAGGATGGGGAAAATAATAAAAAATTCCACATCAGTGTGTGCGTAAGCTAAAGATATTTTGCTTTACTCTTACGATAATTAAAATAAAAAAATTCCACATCAAGTATATAAAAAAGAGAGATTTACAAAGAAATTACAGAAGAAAAACAAAACAAAAGACTATTCGAGAGGATTAGGATTTTGTTAGCCGATTTACAAATCTGATTGCGATAAAAGTCAAAAAATGCTAGAAAATAGGAAATCAAATAATAATACAATAATTTATTTTAAAACATTACAAATATATCATTAGAGTTTCTTAGGTTATGCTAATAATAATTTATTTTAAACAATTACAAATATACATTTCTTTCATTCTTTCTTTTATATAGAAAGATTTACTTTACTTGTTTTGTGTTAGCTAGCTTAAAATATGAAAAAGCAAAAGACTATTCAAATGGTAAAACACAATCTAAATTGCTTTATTCATATTTATATACATTTTTTTTACCAAAAAAAAAAAAAGTAATAAAGAGAATAAATGAACACAAATTATTTTCCAAACCCTAATAGTAGACCACTAAACCACAAAATCCAACGGTCAAGTTCACACGACTATCACGATTCACGATTCTAGAACGAAAAGTGGACCCCACCAAAAACCAACATCATCTTGTCCGTTGAAAATAGGCGGGAAAATTCACAAATCCAACGGTCCAGATACGAGACTCAACACCCTAAAAAGCTGCTATCTTTTCAATCCTATTTAGCAGCAGATTTGCCCAAGAAGAAGAATAAGAAGAAAAAAGGAACCATTTTTCTCTGTTTCATTTCCAAAAAATGGCACCAAAAAGACCACCAACAAACGCCGGCGACTCTTCCGCCGCCGCCGCCGACAGTGGCAGAGTTACCCGGAGCTCCACCCGCCTAGCCACCGCCGTCGCTCCGCCTGCTGAAGACCCTGCAGCACCAAACAAAAAGAAGGCCAAAACCACCACCACCACCTCCTCCTCCTCCGCCGCCGCCGTCGCTCCGCCTGCTGAAAATCCTGCATCACCAAAGAAAAAAAAGGCCAAAACCACCACCACCTCCTCCTCCGCCGCCGTAGCTCCGCCTGCTGAAGACCCAGCAGCACAAAAGAAAAGGAAGGCCAAAACCACCACCACCACCTCCGCCGCCGCCGAGAAACCCCAGCCGCCCGCGGCGGATCTCGGTGGTTCCAAGAAAATCATAATCGAACACTGCAAACAATGCAACGCATTCAAGACAAGGGCTATTCAGGTAAAAACCGCGTTGGAGGAGGGTATTCCGGGAATCGAAGTTTCGCTAAACCCCGAAAAACCCAGGAGGGGCTGCTTCGAAATCCGCGAGGAAGGCGGCGAGGTTTTCATCAGCCTGCTCGATATGAAGAGGCCCTTTCCCCCATTGAAGAAACTCGACATGGACGAGGTCATTTCCGACATTCTTGAAAAGATTCGATGATTCTAAGGTTGTCCGAACAACTCCGATGCTTTCTTTAGTTAATTTTATTTCTATTTTTTGTTGTAGTAAAAAAAACTATGGTGGTTGCAATTTGTATGCTATGTTTTTGTGTTGTGCCTGCATCTTATTCTTGGATCGAGTAATTTGATTTTCAATGGGCAAAGGTAATTTTCCCCGACTCGTCTCGTTTCGATTCTTCAAGTTGGGATAAGTTTTGAAGAATTCTTTAGCATTCACTTTTGATATGTGCGTGTACTGAATGCACTATAAGGCTAAGACATGCGTATTTCTATTTCTTACCAGCAATTTGATTTCAATGTCAAAGGTAATTTTCCCCTACTCGTCTTGTTTCGATTCTTAATTCAAATTGCGATAAGTTTGGAAGAATTCTTTAGCGTTCGCTTTTTGCTATGTGTGTGTACTGAATGCACTATAAGGGTAAGATAATGATTTCAATATGAATCGTAATGTGCGTGTGGTCCTATAAGTTCCTATAAGTGAGGTATTCCGTATTAGTACCAGTGTTAGGTATAGGCGAACCACAATTGAATATCGGTTGTATGTTGAATGCAGTATAAGACTAGAGTTTACATCTTTTTATGTCACAAATTAGTTTTAGAATCAATGGTATAGCTTCCAAATTAACTTTTCGATTCCTATTTGAAAACCCCCCTTTATTACGGAAAAAAACATTATCGGGCAATTATTGCGAACAACTCGTAATAGGAAGGCGGAAAGCCGAGAAAGCCTTATATATTTGGAAATCGATTCGTCAAGTATAGAATCGATGGTCGTTCTAGTAGACAAAGACATTAGTTTGCCTGTTACACAACTTCTTCCTAGGTAAAATGCAACAAGTATAATACTATTGTTGTACGTATTTTGTGTGTGATAATATTATTTTCAGAATGATGAAACCTCGATTCCATGGAAGAAGAGTCTAGAAGGTTCTCCTTCTAGAAGCAAAGACAATCTCGTAAAGCCCTTTAATTTGCTCCGTCTTCTCAAATGTTTGGATTCCCATATAGAGTTCAAATATGTCTTGACAAAATCAGTTCACACACAGTAATACTAGGTTGCTGTTTTGCAGTAATTCTGGTATAGGCATTCACAGTTCTGCTTTCGACACGATACACGCAGATAGATACGAGGGCCAGAGCTGAATTCTTGAAACCTGAGAAAAAGACGTCAACTTTTGCATCTATGTATTGTAGTCATCCCTTCATTTTTATTTTGCATCTAGCTATGTTTATTAATCCTTAGATATCATCTTCACAAGGCAAACAAAAACATAGACACACACACACACAACATACATTAAATTGAGCAGTTGCTTCTGCTCTGCTTGTATGAAACAATGTCTTGGTAAAATTGATGATTTGCAATTGAAGTTTTCCAAAAAAAATCTTTTATTTGAAAAAAAATAAATTGCAAAATATTATGGTTGGTTGTAATTTGAGTTCTGAATTGAAATCATATGAATTTTGTTTTTACAATAGTCTAAGGTGGTGTTTGCAAATGATTATTTAAAAGTAGAAGTTAGTGATTGTGATTTAAGTTAGTTTTAAGTGCTTATTTCTAAAAGTTGGGGGTGTCTGCAAATATTTCGGAAAATGAACTAAAATTGAAAAAGCAGGGTTAGAGGTGCTTTTAAAAAAATAGCTTAAAGCAGATTATTTTAAGAGAAACAAAAGCAAAAGTTGATTTTGCAAACACCTAAACACAGATTATGAACAAAAAAAACCGCATAATCACTTTCAAAAAGCATTTGCAAACACCACCTAAGTCTTAGGAAGAAAATTACGTGTAAATTATGGCCACCGCCCAAGGCAAGGTCAAATTACGAAAAAAAAACTCATGTTTGGGTAGTTACAATCATCCATCTATTATTAATCTTCTTACACGCAAAAATACACCACAATCTGATATTTACAAATAAAGAGACACATCTTATGATCTCATCTTGTTTCAATGCGGAGCTCGTACGGAGTAAAACAGTTACGGAGAATATTCCACATAATCCAGAAGATTCCACTAAATTTTATAATTGAGGACGGTGATCGTAATTACCCAAATACGAAAAAGATTTTTTCATAATTTAATCTTAACTCAGGTATACACACACCTTAAAACTCCGTATTTGCTCTTTCTTAAACCCTAAACCCTAACAAAACCCTTTCCCCAAATTCTCCCCCAAAAATGCGCTTCTCCGCCATTTTCCTCCACAATCCGTCGAAGAACCTCCACAATAGGCTCATTTTCCTCCGCCGCATGGGCGGCGGGGCTCGAACCTTCCCCGGAGGTCTCAACAAGTGGCAATGGAAACGCATGCACGAGAAAAAAGCCAGGGAGAAAGAGAAGTACCTCCTCGATCAAGAGAAACAAATCTATCAGGCCCGGGTCAGGTCAGATATTCGGGCCAAACTCGTCTCTTCCGAAAGCCCCATTTCCGAATCGGAAAAGCCCGATCCGAACCCGCCGAATTACGGCCCGTTAACTCCCCAACAACATATCAAGTCACTCGCTGATCGGTTCATGAAGGCAGGAGCCGAGGATTTATGGAACGAACGAGACGGACCGTCGTTAGGGTTTCCGGAAAACAAGCCTGGGAGAAGTCAATTTATAGGTGAGCCTGTTGATTTGCAGAAATTAATTGCTGAGAAATCGAATTTTAATGGAGGCAATAACATCGAAAATAGCCAATTTCCGAGGAATGTGATTAGTAGTGCAGCTAAACCAAGGCATTTTTCTACTTGTAGTAATTTGATGGGTGATTTTGGCAATGGGTATTTAAGAAGGATGAGTACAGGGTTTAATTTAGCTGGGAGTGTAAGTAGTATGTCGAATTTGAATCGTTACTACTCTGTGGAAGCTACGAGTAAAACGGGTGATAAAAGATCGATTTTTTCAAGGAACGGTCGAAATTCAATGGCTGTTAATAGCTCGGATACGAAAGCGAAATCTGGTGGTGGGAAGAAGGCGGAGTGGCCGAGGTTTCGTAGGGGTAATATGGGTTCGTCAGATGATGACAGCGATGATTACGATGATGACGATGAGGAAGAATTTGAAAGTGGCAAAAAGATTACGGGTAGTAGTGCAGCTTTAGGAAAGTACGATACTAAGATCAAGAAAAGGGTGCCGTTGAAATTCTTGGAAGACGAGGAGGATTTATCTCAGCAAGTTGAGGCAATTCGGAAGGAGGTTATTCAGAGGAAAACCGTGCAGGAGGATTGTAAAGTAAAAGACGAAGAGGAGGAATCGATTCTCAGTACCAAAAGGTGTGTTTGGTTTCGTTGATGAAATGTACTAATCTTTTTTTTTTTTTTTATGAAGTCCATATATTTTAATTTAGTTTGAATTGGTTGGTCTTTTTGCAGGTTTGATGAGGTTGACGTGTCGCCATTGACAGTTCGTGCGCTAACTGAGGCTGGTTATGTGCAAATGACCATGGTGCAAGAGGCGACACTTACCTCATGCCTTGAAGGTTCGTAATTACACTTATAGCCTCTCTCTCCTTTTTTTCGTATGCCTGGTGAATTTGATTTCATGAGAAAATCGTCTACTTTAAATGGATTTGATTGGATCAGAAAATTGTATATTCTGAATGAATTTTGATTTCGGAGGAAATTGTAGTGTACACTGATTTGTTTGCTTAAAATATATGTTTATTTGACTGTCATGATTTACTTTGTACTAACTGAAATACAAAGTAGTACCTTCAAGTAAACAATTTACGCATATAACCTCCTTTTTATTTAGTCGGTTTTTGGCATATAGTTTCCTATTTTTCTAATGCTCAAATTTCTCGACTATGTTTCTCTTTAAATTATCAGGGAAGGATGCTTTAGTGAAAGCTAGGGCTGGTACAGGCAAAAGTATTGCATTTTTGGTATATCTCTCGACACCTTTAAATTTCTATACATATTTTTTTTATTAATTCTGATTATTATTGTGCTAAATACAAACAGCTTCCTGCTATTGAAACAGTTGTGAAGGCATCAAGTCTCGGGAAAGTTCACCGGGTCCCACCGATATACATTCTTATACTATGCCCAACTAGGGAACTTGCCAGTCAAATTTCCGCAGAAGCAAATGTGCTCCTAAAGCACCACGATGGCATAGGTGTGCAAACGCTAACCGGAGGGACACGATTTAAAGTTGATCAAAGACGCCTTGAATCCGAGCCATGTCAGGTAGGAGTTTATTGCATTTAGTACCCCTGTATTATTTCAAATTGCTAACAAGTCCTTGAGTTATTAAAATTAGCAAACGCTCCCCTATTAGAATCCTTTTTTTAGCACACGACCCCTTAAATCCCCTAAATGGTGAGTTTTGAGGGGGTAGTTTGCTAAAATAAATTGACACGTTACACATGGACTTTTTTTTTTTTAACAATTAGAGTAAACGCAAAACGGGGGCCAAACATTGCCGTGGATTATTGTTGTCACTATTAGTTACGACTTATCACATATTTTATAGTGATGATTTGTGCTATTTTCAGATACTCGTTGCAACTCCCGGTAGATTATTGGACCACATCGAAAACAAATCGGGAATCTCTGCACGCTTAATGGGATTGCAAATGCTTATACTCGACGAAGCAGATCACTTGCTAGACCTCGGTTTTCGAAAAGATATGGAGAAAATCGTCGACTGTTTGCCTCGTAAGAGGCAAACTTTACTCTTTTCTGCTACACTTCCCAAAGAGGTTCAATATTTTCCTTATTTCTTTGTTGAAAAAATCGAATTACCATTTAATTCCATAAAATATATTTGTAGAGCGCTTTGATTTTTAGTTTCGATTATTGTGTAATTTCAGGTCCGACGAATATCTCAACTTGTTCTGAAAAGGGAACATGCGTATATAGATACAGTTGGACTTGGGTGTTTGGATACTCATGCCAAGGTACCCTTTATTTATCATTAGAGTTTATTGCATTCAGCACCCCTGTGTTATTAGTATTGGCAAACAACCCCCTATGAATCAATTTTCTTTAGCAAACTACCTCGGGGGTACTAAATGCAAAAAAAATTATTTATTATTATTATTATTTTTTTTTGTTGGGCAAGTTATCAGCGAGTGCAAGCGTAATGATATTTTATATGTCAAGCAGGTTAAGCAATTTTACCTTATTGCCCCTCACGACCAGCATTTTCAAATAGTATACCATTTGTTGAAGAGACATTTATCCGAGGAGCTCGAGTACAAGGTTAATTTGATGTAGCTTTTGTAGTTACAAACAACTTTGTATGCACATCTTTCTTTTTCTTACTAATTTGTTTGTTTGTATATTTTTCAACTTCTCAGGTTATTGTTTTCTGTGCAACGACAATGATGACATCACTCATGTATTCCCTTTTCCATGAAATGAAACTAAACGTTCGAGAAATCCATTCCAAAAAATCTCCACTCTACCGTACGAAAATTTACGAGGAATTTAAGGAATCCAAAAGATTGATTCTCATTACTTCCGATGTTTCTGCTCGTGGGTTGAACTATCCCGATGTCACATTAGTCATTCAGGTAAAATATGATACAATTAAATAATTATTTCAATTTTTACAACTCGTTAAATAAATTTAATTTTGTTGCAAATCCAACGTGTATAATAAGGTGGGAATTCCATCGGATCGAGGCCAATATATTCATCGGCTTGGAAGAACTGGGCGACAAGGCAAAGAAGGTGAAGGGTGTTTATTGCTTGCACAATTTGAAGAATATTTCTTAGACGAGATAAAGGATCTTCCTATCGAGAAATTCCCTTCGCTAAATCTCGATCCCGACGTAAAAGTAAAGGTATGTTGTAGTAGGTCTCCTCCTCGTTTTTCGGGTCGAATTATTTCACGTTTAAAAATGCAACCTTCGTGGTGGTGGAACCTCAATAAACACGGCCGCTTTGGATAAAGAAAATAATATTTCCAGAAAATCAATTTCGTTACAATTTTCTTTAGGAGCCAAAAATACTCGATATTTTCAAATTCTTTGTTTTCGTTTGTTTTTGCATTTTTTGTTTTCCTCATTTCAAAATGCATAAACCAAACAGAGCCTTAATACAAAAAAAAAAAACAATAAAAAAAATTGCAGATGGAAAAGTCGATGGAGAAGATGGATACTAGTGTGAAGGAAGCGGCTTATCATTCGTGGCTCGGTTATTATAACTCGATAAACGCAATTGGAAGAGACAAAACTACCCTCGTGGAGTTGGCTAACCAATTCTCGGCTTCGATTGGTTTGCAAAAGCCGCCTGCACTTTTTCGGAAAACTGCAATAAAGATGGGATTGAAAGGTATCCATGGCATTTCTATACGAAAATAGTAGCAGCAGCTTCTTCATCGACTCTGTAAATATTGTTTGGACGAATATTCGAATTGTTTGTAGTTCAAACGAACTTTTATTTTATTTTATTTTTATAATAAAAATGTATGTCAAACGACTTATTTTGAAGCCCAATTATTAAGTATTACCAATAGAAGGATATTTTTGCAATAGGTGTGCACTTTTTTTAAATTTTTATCTAGCTTTTAAAATCGTATTTGAGCTTGGTTTGATAAGCAATCGAGTCGAGCTCAAAAGAGCTTTAATCGAGCCGAACACGAATCGAGCTCGAGTAGTTTGACTGTTTGTACATACTTTACCCTTTCTTTTACTCTAGCTTGAGTCGAGTTTCATAGCTTATCAAGCGAAAATGTTGTTCATTATGTTAACAAACTGAGCTCGAACGAGCTTTTACAGAATAACCTCAAATCGAGTATCGAGTAGCTTGGTTTGATTATCGGCCCTAGCCCACAATATAATGTATACACATTCCTTTTTGTTATAATTTTTTTGCATGGAAACTAAATTATATCCTCTTATCATATTTTAAATAGACTATTGGCACACAAATGTGTATGGATTCATTAGTTAATTACTTATTTCATATTATCCTATTCTTAATTGTTCAGAGTATTAATGGTGAACCCATTGCTAAGAGGGGGTATTTTAGTCATTTTATTATTATTATTAATTTTTTTTTATATAAATCCATAAGCACTTATTAAAATGGAAATTAAAATAAGTTATTTAAATTAATTCGTAGTACTATAGTACTTGCCAACCATATTCTTTGAATTAATTAGGTATATGATGAGTAGGGACAATGTCCAATCAGAATGAAGACTGACTTGAAATTTGTATAATCAAATAATAATAATACTAAAAATAATAATTCAGCATAATTAGGTGAAACTGTCCTTAATGTCAAAATAATTTTATTAACAAATGACGTTGCTGCATGCTTTCCCACTCTTTTCCAACACATATATTAAAGATTAATTAATATACTTCTACAAAAAAATTCATTAATCTTTAATTATTAAAATTAATAAAATATGCATGTTAATTTTTTTTCAACTCTTTGACAAATTATTAATGTTAAAAACACCAAATTTTCTATTTCAACGTTGAATCATCCTATCCTTCGATTGGATCTTGTTGACAATATATCATCCACGTTCGCTTCCCATATATTATCGTACGTTTGTACGCAATCATACGATATATATATATAGATTTACGCACGTAAATGATATGATAAAATCTAGTGAAGTTAATCGAATGAAACATAGGAAAAAATCAATAGAAGATACCGTTGAGCCATTTTTTCAAAATTTGTTTTCAAAATAGGTTCGGATTCAAAGTGTAATCACTCATACATATAATATAAACTCTTAGGTGGTGTTTGCAAATGCTTTTTGAAAGTGATTATGCGTTTTTTTTTTCTCATAATCTGTTTTTAAGTGTTTGCAAAATCAACTTTTGCTTTTGCTTCTCTTAAAATAATCTGCTTTAAGCTATTTTTTTAAAAGCACCCCTAACCCTGTTTTTTCAATTTTAGTTCATTTTTCGAAATATTTGCAAACACCCCCAACTTTTAGAAATAAGCACTTAAAACTAACTTAAATTATAATCACTAACTTCTGCTTTTAAATAATCATTTGCAAACACCACCTTAATATATATATATATATATATATATATCTATATCTCTGTATTAGTGAGGTGGAGGGAAGAAGACCAATTAAAGGCAAAATTCCAAATTTCTAATCAATGCCGTAAGTCATCCAGTGGGAAAATCAGTGTAGGGTCAGGGGCGGTCACCCCCTCCCTCGAATTTTAATTGTTTTTACTACTATGTGTATAATATTGTATTTGTATCGTGCTCCTATAATTCATAACAATTAGTTTTATATAAAAAATAAAATTTATTATTTTTAATTGAAAAAAATAAGAAAAATAATAAATAAGTCTCACAAGTTGGATAAAAAAACTTACAAATTGTGGCTTGGGACAAGGGGCGAGTCCACTCTCAATTGAAAAGAAATCCACCATATTATACTTATATATTTATTTTGTCCACTAAAAATCAAAATTAATATTTATTTGGTTCTAAAAAAAAAAAAATCGGAGCTCTGCCCCCGAATCCTCGGAAATTTAAACTCACCATATAACAAAATCGTAGACTTACCACTCTTACACTATTGTAAATGTATATTCGGCCCAAGTGATAAAATCCCAACTTCGCCACTTACCTCCTAAGAACGAATGCAAATAAATTACGAAAACAACCTTCTTGCATATGAAATTCGAACATTAATGGCGATGATAATAATTTATTACACCACATAATCGGTCATGTGCGAAGACTTGCTACTCACTGCTCTGTCGGCACATGACACTTCTCTATTAATTAATAATAATCCAATTTGCTAACATAAATATATTTATTTCTAATCATAATTAAAATGGAGAAAAATTGAATGATTCCCATTGATACAAGTCAAACAAACCCCTAAATTCAGCAAATAAATGTTTTAGGCACTCGATTATCCACGAAATTACACTTCCACCATTCACATTAATCTAATCTAAACAGATCTAAGTTGTTCTAGAGCCTTTTCGTCAATGGCGTGCAGGAAAATTTTCAATTCTCGATTCATGAAAATTTAGAAAATTACGTACGGTACCGCTTCATCTAAAAGCTTAAATTGGATATAATCTAACTCTGATATCGTGTTGAATAATTATTACATATGTATAAAAGTTTAATAATCTGGTAGTGAAATGAATTATTTTATATTTATATAATAAAATATAAAAACTATAAATAAATAAAGAAATAAAAAAATAAAAAAAAAATCTATCATAGATGATAGTCATTAGTCAATACTATCATTATCCCAGCTGGAAAATAATTGAAGAATATTAAATTCCTAATATACCCTACACACACAAGCACAAAAGTCAATCTCTACAAGATGGTCAACAGTTTCCAGCAAGGCATTGTGCTCTTCTAGTAATAAACCAATGGACGAATTTCACACACACCAACGGGGGGCATTTTCGTAATTACCAAGGACCAGACTGACTTATATTAAGCTCATTTATCTGAATCATGATTCTTAGTCCCATAATCTTTTTCTCTACTCCTACATTTCTTCTCCAGCAAAAATCAGTTGCAGAGATTATCATATATATACATATACACATATATATAAATATAAATGAGAATCCAATCACTGATTCTTGTAACGATGGTGTTCATACTCAGCATCAGCCACCTCTCGAATTGTCGCGATTTACGCAAAGAATCAAAGAGATACAGCTCTCAGGCACAAGGTCCGGTGGGGCCCCCATCAAGATTTAATTCCACATATTCATCGTATTTTAATTTTCCAGCAAATTCTCCGAAGAAATCAAGAAACAAAGACAACGACGAATCGAGTTACAGAGTCTCATATAGAATAACTCCAGGCGGGCCGAATCCTCTGCACAACTGATCCTTTTCTTTTTCTTACAACAATTTTTTTCTTTTTCTTTTTGAGGAATACAATTTCTAGTATTTGTTTTGGGGTTTTTTAAATTTTTTTTCTCCGGTAGAATGTATAGTTGATGTTCATAATATTGTTTACTTCCAGGTATTGGTTGTTAAATGTAGCATGTATACAACATATACTTTATTATTTTGTTCGCCATTTTTTTTATCAGAAGAATGAAGATTTTTTTTTATGTTTCTCTCTCTAGAGTTGAGGCGAACAAATAGTTGAAGCTTGTTCGAGTGTTTATCGAATTTTTTGTCAGTTGTTTCTTAATCGAATTCGAGGGCAAGTGTTATTTATAGCTTATCGAAAGAAAAATATACGTTCAAGTTTGGTTAGTTATATCAGCAAATCAGACTCAAACGAGCCAGAAGTTAGTGGGAATGAGAGAAATATAAATGCAGCAAAACCAATACATCAAAGTACAATTAACAACTAATCGAGTTGGTTTAAGACACCGGCTTAACGTAAAATTTTATTAACTTAAGCTGATCTAAACAAGTCAAACAACCATATTATATAACCAATATAGTAGTAGCTAATCTTTCTTTATTATCTTCTTATATAATATAAAAAAAATTTAATAATGCAACCAGGCTCAACAGTCAACTGCAGGTTATATTATTATCAATTCTTGTCATTAAAAAAGTAATTAATCATACAGACAATAATACAATGTCTTGTGTCTACTGTCTGAAAGTCAAATTTAGGTATAGAGGTGTAGATTATAACATGAATTTTGAGTTCTACTTATTTTGATCCGAAAATTTTGCGATTTTTGCAATAATATATATATATTTTTTGAAAATAATCGAAGGGCGTATGAAAAAACCTGACCTCAGCTACATAAGCTCTTTGCCGACAGGGTCGACGGAAAAATGCAGGGACAACGCCTTTTGGACGATGGGCTCGAATTTAGATTTCCATATCTGCTTTTTTTCAAAAATAATAAAATAAGCAGAAAAAATCGTATATATTAGTAGTTTCTCAACGACAAAAATAAATAAATAATAAGTAATGATAGTAAATAAATAAAATCATATATATTATTACAGTATTGTATTCTGAACTGCTCATGAACATCTTGAATGCCTCCGCTGTTATAAGCAACAAAAGGTTAAATAAAAAAAATAAAAAAAATAAAAAAAATAAAAAAAATAAAAAGTAAAATTGTTAAATGAAATTGCTTTTCAGCAAATTGCTGCATATAACTCACATGACCGAAATCGTATTACTACACCATGCGTATATTCTGAATTGCTCGTATTCACATTCGGACCTGCAAATAATGATAATCACGCCATGATAATGAAAGCAATGTATTATCCTATAAAGTGATGCATGTAAGTTCAATTTAATTGAACAATTAACGAGTTAGTTTCTGTGAGATGGAATATTGATTCAAAATACACCACCACCTTTAGTAGCTTGAACAATTAAAGAAGGGAACTCCATTGTAAGGTTTGCCAGCGAAGCCATCGCATCTTCTGTGGGCCCATCCAAAGAACTCCCATTAAATTGTAAAAGAAGCACAAGCTCGACTCCATGGTTAAACTCCTGCCAGAAAGAAAGTATTTCATCTTTAAAATGCTTTTCACATGTTTATATCACACATTTCACAAAATATTTTCTTTAACAGATGCATGTATATTTTTTCAGCTTCGAACCTCTCCCTTACGAAATATTGCTAGGATATCATCTTCTACTTCAGATTCATAGTCAAAATTGACAAACCCCTGTGAGTCAAAAACAAGAATCCAAAAATTAAAGAAACGTAAAAATAGGCTCTCTGTCACCAGAAACTTTAAAGAAATAAATGACTTTGAGATATTGGTGTTTACATGTCAGAGCATACATGGCAGTAAGGATTCACATGTTTCTCAAGAACTCTCATATAAAAAGGGTTTTCGTAAAACTTGGCCAGGTCCTCTTCTGTCTGGAAACGCATATAGATCGCGTGTGTATATTGTTCAGGATTTTCAGAAAGACGCCCTACAGTAATCAAAAGATTCCATATAGATACTTCAGACGAAGAAAAAATCAGATAATGCATCGCATAATGAGTTTGGTAAATAATATATCAGAGCTGAGGAACTGAGAAGTAAACTGAATAACGTTATTAAAAAGATACCAAATTGACAATGAGCAATTATGTAAGAACCGGAATATCCTTTTTACTTTTACCTTCCAATGATCACCTTATCCCAATTGTTGAATTACACGTGGAAAATAACAAATTGGAGGAGATTAGTCGTCAATCATAATAACGAATTGGACTATACCATTGGTGATATTGCATTATTAAATCAAAGCATTGATATGGCGCATTGAGTTATATATGATTCTTTTTCTCTCAAAAAAAAATATTAAAAAATCGAAGCATCAACTTTGATTTCTTAGTATGCCAAAAACAATGTAAAAAAATTTGCAGTCAGAAGATTGGATTTCATAACAGCAAATTAACTATGTTTACTGTAATAAACCATCAAAGAGAGTTAAAAGTCAATCATATATAGTAGAAAACCTAGGATTTTCTATACTACAAATTAAAATGGTCACCTAATGATATGGCAATGATGCCACGCATCTGATATTGCGTCGTATAAAGGTAATCCAGCATGTCGTTCTCTTGCTCTTCAGACAAATCTTCTTTTGCTTTGACTAGGCATATATGTTCAATAACTTTTCTGCAAAAAAACGTCCGTATAAGGTCGGTATTACTGCTAATACATGAATGCCCAAATGATAGTTTATACAGAATTAATTAAATGAGAAAAAATAAAAATACCATGAAAATGGAAGAAATTGAATCCAGTAAAAGAAAAAAAAACCTCTTTTTTTGCACGCCGGCACCCAAATTTCCTTCCCCAACAGCTGAAACTACAGCCATCTTCTCCTTTTTACCCCAATGGCATAATTTATTTCTCGAATCGACAAACAACAAGGAACCTGATAAAACAATTGTTAAATTGATTAATTCTGAAATTTAACCCATCAATTCACCAAATTGAAACAACAACAAAATAATAAAATTCAAATGTAAAAATAAAATAAAATAATTATCGACCGATTTCTCACCACCGGCGATCCATCTTCTCTTCGTACTTAACCCCAACCGTGTTCTCGAAAATGCTAGGGTTTGGTAGAGAGAACTACGGATTTGAGGAAAAGCACAAGGAGTGAAAATCTGATTCAGTATCTGCATTTTAGTTTCTTCAATGAATTTTCTTCTCCGATTTTTCAGTATGTGTGTGTGTGTGTGTGTGTTTTGTGGGCGTCGGAAAATCGCAGAGATACCTTTTGTAGGTGTGGAATGGGTGGACTGCGTGAAACTGCTATTTTAAATGGAGGGGCTTATTTTGGCGCCTAATTATGTTTCTTATTTTACCTAAATGCCCTTTTTTCTTTTTTCTTTTTTCTTTTTAAAACCTTTTTGTAAGTAGTGGTTAGTATTATTATTACTAGCATTTTTTCGGTAGCACGGAATAGCATTTCAAAAGTGAAAATAGTAATTAGTTTAATACATGACTAATAAAATTTATTAGTGATATAGGTAACAACATTAATATTTATACAAATTTAATATAAATTGATTTTCGAAAAAAGTTATAAACTTAATTGTCATAATATGAAATTGATCATTAAATAAATGAAGCAAAGAAAGAAAATTAGAGATTATAGACTGAAAAATATGAGATAAAAATAATAATTAGTAATTAAAAAGATATAGAGATAGTGAATTACAATTGCGCTAGTCCACGATTTCATGTGAAAATAATTAGAAAGAAAAAAATAGCTGCAAAATAAAATATAAATATACACATATACAAAAAATATTATTTTTTTTACAAATGTGTCATTCGAGTTTCTTAGGTTATCTTCGCGTTTCTTTTATATATAAAGATTTTAGATTTTTAATATTTTTTGGTAATTCGGTAATTAGCGAACCGAATATTTCGGTTTGTTATTGGGTGTAAAATTCAGTCATCACTTTCTAGTAACTAGAAAAGTGGTAAATTATTTCGTTGCATAAAGCTAGTAAATTACACAATTAGATGACAAAATCAAGAAATATAAAGTCACAACAAATATTCCATGTATAAACTATAAAGGCAATGTTATAAGAATTACTCGAGCCCACTTCTTGATACGTCTTTCTATTCGAAGAGATTAGCCAACCGGCACAAAACGAACTCTCACTAAATCCATATTTTTTTTATAAAACACAAGACACCGTTTAATACGAATAAAAGACTCGCAAATCGAGCATTCTCAAGAACCGGAGGGCTTAAGATGTTGGAAAAGTTCCGGAAGATGAGCATTAGTGAGCTTAGTCCTCTTGCTAATCTCGTTCTTCTTCTTCTTAGTCTTGGGCTTCGTATCGATGCCGTGAATCTGCGCCATAGCCCTCCTCTTGGCAGTGTTTGTAGCAGGTTTCATTCCGTTCTTCTGAAGATCCCTCTCGATATCAAGCATATCGCGGGGGAGTTCAATCCCGCGAAACAGCTGTTTCAGATCATCGTCCACTTTAATTACAGCCCTTGGATCGTTCGGGTATGCTATGTCCTCTTGCGAGTCGAAGTTCGATAGCAGCCATATTTGTCCCGATGCTTTCAAAGCCTGCAAAAAAAAAAAAAAGGGCATTCTTGAATTTGTCTTATGTTTGGGATTTGTAATTATACAATTCTAGTATTTGGTAATATTAGTCGTACGATTAGGAGTGTGCAATAATTGGGTTGTGTTTGGACTAAATAACCTTCATATGTTTGATCAAAATCTGGGTCGATTTTTTTTTTTTTTTTTTATCATGGGAATTGTAACCTAAATCCCAAACATTTGAAAAATCTTGATTATATTGTCTATCAAGCCTAATCATAATTCCCGGACAATGGGGTTTTCCGGTCTGGACTAAATATTCATTATATGCATGATTAAACTTCGAGCATTTTTTCTATCATGGGATTGAAATCTAAACGTCAGACATTTGACAAAGCTTTTATTATATTCTGTACAAGGCTAATCATAATTCCCAAACAAGGGCCTCGAGAATTTAATATACGGGAACAAACAAGTTACCTGTAAGTCATCCATGACTGCTGGGTACGAGTCCTTGAGATCAATGACAGCAATACCCTCCGGAAACTTCCGGATTAAGACAAGAAGTTGGCCCTTGTCTTTCAAATCGTGTTTCGACTGCAAGCATATCGTAAAGCAAGGTAAAATTATCCTAGGAAAAAAAAAGTGAATGAAGAAAAAACGGTGCGATTTATTCAGATAAGGTAATTTACATAGTAGCCCACTAAACTGCTCGGTGGTTTTATTCATGTACCAACATTACCTTGTAGGTGAACCGTTTCCCGTCATATCTCACTTTCGGGTTGTTCCTTAAACTGTCGAATACGGATTTGTTTGCATTTATATCCACGTAGCATGCTTCGTTTATCTGCTCAGGAGTGTAGAGTTGCCTTGTCTGGATACGAGAATTTATTAAGTTAGGAGATGCTCAAAATATACTTTTAAGGTATAGAATACGATGAAATCGAACTGACACATGTGACATGATAAGGCATGTATATTTAATGACAAAAGCATGGCAGGAAAAATATCCGTCTAGCGAGTTTAATAAAGCCAAAATTATTGAAAAAATATTAACTCGAGAAATTCAGCTGAAGTAAGTAATATCCAATTTATTACATCAGCGTAACACGAACCATCTTCTTCTTTTCTGCTCGTCTGGTTTTATCCAAACAAATTGACACATAGAGATTATTTCGTTATCTCGAGCAGGTTACCATATCATTACATATATTGGAATTTAACTCCTCAACTGAAATCGGCCAACATGACTAACCTATTCGTCCAGTTAAGGAAATATTTGACCAAAGGGCCAAAATTATATCGAGAATATTCGACGTCAATCGAGCACCATGTGTAGATAGATAGATGCCTTCTATATATAGCTTTTTTAATACATAAAAATAGCATACAACGTGGCCACGTAATGAAGTAGCAAGGAGAAAGATTTTTTTTTTCCTTTGTAATAGACACTCACGAAACGATGACAAAGCTGAAAATCGAGAGATGTGGCAAAGAAAAAGAGCATGTAAAACCCCTCTCTAATAGCTATCTGAAATATGATTCACAAGATTCTCGTTGTTTCAGATTAAACAAAAACACCATACACTATGTGTGAAATAACACCTTACATACTCTAATTATTGATACTATTACCAAATTTCTCGCCGAGATCAAGAATCAATGCATTTAGTTCATAAGTACCGCTAATAAATATACAAGGAATAACGAGAGATGCGGTACCTCGAAGAGCAAATTAATAACACGTTTGATTTGAGCCCCCACGGGAGCTTTCCTTATGCTATTTATATGTTGAAGCCTTTCTGTATCGTTCGAGAATTTGACTTGTGGTGCAACTGACTTTGCATTTGCTATGCTCGAGTGCGCAGATTTGGAACCATTTGCTTTCGAAGATCCCGCTTTAGCTGCAATGCTCGTAAGCGTCGACTGGCATTTCTCTTGCTGTTTCTTAAATTCCGACAGCTTTTCTTGCAACGACGCCATCTAAAGAAAACAAGCGAAATGTATCGGAGTTATTTTTTCGATAACGCAGACATTGGAAACAATAATCGACTCAAAATTCCACCTTGCCACCATCCCCACACCACACAAACATGAATTGGTGGTTACTAAGTTCTAAATTTGCAATTGCAGATGAATGAAATGAATCTCAATAACTGAATTATGCATCTATTTCAATCAGGAAAAAAAAAAAATACCCAAATCCAAAATGCAATAGGTTAGAAATAAAACCCCATAATCCGAAAATTGAAATCTAGACAAATTAGAAGATGATCGCCCTCAATTCAAAATCCAGACAATCGCCATTCCCCCAACTGTAATTACTCGAAACAATTATTCATAAACGATTTTTTTTTTTAAATACAAATCAGAAAATAATTTCAGATTGATTCAGAAAAGGGAGATTGAATCGAATTACAAAACTTTGATCGTTAAAATTCGATACCCAATTTTCAATTTTGATAACCAAAAAAAAAAAATTATATTTATATTCCAGAAATTGGATTTATACTTCGATCAACGGCAATTTTTTCGAATCGAGTTGGTTCGATTCTTTCTTCTTAGTGATTCTCTTACCTCAGGCAACAATTCTGGAAGAGCACCTGATAATTTTTAGGGAGATTGATTTTCAGGAGAGAGAGAGAGAGAGAGAAAGATCTCCTATTGCTTTTACACCCTCAAGACAAGAGTCGATATTATATTGTTCTCACTTTGTACTCACTCCGGTTCACTTAGACCGGCTGCAAGAACCGGACCTACACTCTTTGGGTCTCTATGCCAAAATCCTAATTTGGGCCGCCTACTATTTCTTAACAAATTTAACAATAAGTAATCTGGAAAGGAATTGGGCCCGTTGAGACAAAAGACCACTGAAGAAAGGCCCAAATGGAGGAAGCCCAAGATCCGGCCCTCTTCGCAAGGACCAAGTCAGCGGGAAGATTAGCACCCGAGGGGTCCGAGCGGGCTACTCGCTCGGGTGAGGGGGCGCAAGGGCCCCACCATGGATGTTCATGGCGACCGATGTTGAGGTTGCATTGATGGAAGACTGACAATCATTCTTAATGCCCTCATCGGCGCATTAAATGATCTGACATCAGCATTTAATGGTCGAATAATCAGAGACTGCCGCTAACAAGGGAGACGTACGGGCCAAGCTACTCCTGGTAACTCGGTAGAGAACGGCTGTAGTTGTCCCGAAGGTAATGATGAATCGAGTTGCCCGGTAAAGGTATGAGAGCGGCGAGTTACGCCTTATTTACGCAGAGCTTATGTCAAGGTATTATAAACACGGGTTCACACACTTCAACATTAATGTTCCATCTATCTATCTCTTTTAAATCAATATAACGAATTCCACCTTAAAAATATCTTCGATTCGTTGACTTGACCGTTAGAGTGCTAACTCCGACGTCAGTCCGATTCTCTTTTCATTTAGAGTAAAACGGACCAGGTTACTCGCTAAGTCCCCCATTCACACTCAAATTGCAAGCAGTCAAGGCGGTTTTAGGGCGGATCAATAAGCTTTCTTCTATTTTTATATATATATAATACTGAATATTAAGTGCCACAATTGGGGTGGAAAACGTTCTTTTACATTTAAGTATTTTATGTAGTATATTTGGGAAGGGCCGGGCCGGGCCTTGTCGGCTGCAACTCGAATGTATATATTATGTTATGTCGTTTAACCATTTCACATCGGTTGTAAAATTTCGAACATTGTTTAGGCCTTAGGGGATTTAAAATCCTTCGTAAGCTACGTAGAACAGCCGATACGATGAAATGAAGAAACGGACTCGGTGAAAAGACATATCCCAAAGATCGGGAGATGGGAACTTGGGGGGAAACGTGTAAATATTAAAAGCACAGGGGTATATTTATAAATTTACTATATATACATATATAAGTTTTTATTTATGTGTGCATTCGATTCAAATATATTCAAAATAAATATTATTATCAACTATCGATTTGCAATTGTTCATTAAATCATGTAAATAATTAAGGAAACAACAAAAATATTTAAAATTTTGTTATTCAGACATATTTCTAAGTTTCATAAATTACAAAATGATCCATAAGCTGTCCGACAGGTGTCCTAGAGTATCAACGAAACATGTTCGAAACGCGAATATGTAAAGAAGTTGAAGTTTTCGTGCTACATAATTGATAACTTAAAAAGACATGCTTTAAATTATTTCTCATCTTACGATTCTAGTGAATCATTATCTCTAAAACATATTATATTTTTACCATTCATAATTTTTAATTAATTGAAAAATCAATTAATGGCATGAGCAATTAATGATATGTAATATATTTTTTATGTTATAAATTATATATAATCCATATATATTAATCGAATTTCCTAATACGTACGCAACTAACAACTAATATGGGACGAAGAGAATAATGAATTTCTTAGTTTCGATAGAATTTCATCGTTTCTTTTTCTTCTTACAAATAATTAATATTTCTTAAAATTAATGATTGGTATTTCAAGCATTTCCTACAATTTTCTAATTATTTAAAAAAAAAAAAAAATATATATATATATATATATATATATATATATATACACTCACCATAGCAATTTATACTCATCAAAATTGAAATAGTGCACAAATACAAAATAAAAATTACCAAGAAAATCCGATACACGTCACAAATACATTAGTGAAGTGATCAAAGGCTTATTGATTATACACGCAAAAAGAAAAAAAAAACAACCACATAAAACAAAATTAAGAGTAATTAATAAAAACAAAAATAAAAATAAAAATATTATTAATTAATTTAAGGACAGAAAACAACTCTATAACTGGTGGCCGGCGGGCAAAGGAAAGTGCTAGTTGGTTCATCCTCGGGAAACGTAAACGCGTCTTTGCATCTAGTCTTGAAAAAGCGCGAAAGATCCGTTGGGTGGCATGGTCCAGAGTGGCAGCAATACTGCGTCGTTTTGAACACCGTGCACGGGTTGTGGCACCCGCCCGGGGTCTTCAGCTGGGTCGGGCACTGACCCGTTATATCGCCCGCGCACCTCACGGGTCGGGTGCACCCGTTGTTCGTCGGGGTGAACTCGATCGGCACGTTGAACCCCTCCATCACGGACACGTCGTAGTAGTCGTGGTGGTTGAACGAGTTCAGCCCGTACTCCGCCAGCGTGTGCGGCGGCGACCCGTAGGATTTGCACTGGAGATCGCCGTTGCAGTCGCCGGTGAGGCATTTCCCACGGCCGGAGGTGTCGAAGGTGCAGTTGGTTCGGGCCCAGATTTTGGCGAGCTTGCACCGGCTGGGGAAGCCGAGTGTCCACGTCTGGCCGGAGTCGAGGCGGCGGCCGCCGCCGGGGACGGCGGCTGGCCAGATGGTGTAGGGGCAGTTGTTCTTGATGTTGAAGATGATTGCGTGGGTGGTTTGGAGGAAGAGGAGCGACGGCAGGAGGAGGAGGGCGGCGGCGGTGAAATAATTCATTTTTTGCATTTTTGTGAATTTTAATTAATAATTATAATCTGTTTGAGGTTGTGATTTGTGGTGTTTATATAATGATGTGATTATTTATTTATTTATTTATTTATTGGGTAAATTACGAAAATACCCCTACATTTAGCCTAAATAATGAAAAACGCTCTCACGTATTCGTAATAACCAAAACCCCCATCTGATCAACTGTTCATTGAGTTTTTTAACTAAAAAATGTGTACAGTCTATACCTTATGTTAAATATGTGAAAATTGAGAAATAAAGAAAATATCTGAAATTGTGTAAAGTTTATCCTTAAATAAAAGGAAAATCCGTGAAAAAATCACATTGTAAGAGGTTGGTGTAAGACGGAAACAAATCTCAGGGGTTTTTTGGGTAATTACGAATAGATGGGGTGTTCCTCGTTATTTAATCTAAGTTAAGGGGTTTTTTCGTAATTTACGCATATTTATTGTGCTTTTGAGTGGACTAGTCAAGAGTTGGGGACGATGCCATTAAGTCATTAACTATAGGTTTTATTATTTTTTTATTATATACTTATTTTTTATATTAATAATTAATTTTGGTATCGAGAAGCTTAATCATATCTTTTGTTTGGTAAATTATTCATTATATTGGTGATCAACAATAATTATGAGCATCTGTCGTACTTCTAATAATAATTATGGTTGCAATTGGAAAACTAATTGATTATATAATTATATTTACCTGTCCACGTGAACTATTTTATGCAACTATGTTTTATACTAATTAATATTTACTAGCATTTTTCCCCCGTGCGATGCACGGGATAGGATATTATTTTAAAAGTGAAAAAAAAATCAATTTAATACATAATAAGAAACTATATTACACTAAAATAGTAAAATTTAATAATGTAGTATTATTTATATTTTATATAACATTAGTTTTTTTTAAATCTTACATATTAAGATTTATAATTCAAATAGATTTAACAAATCGAATTTCTACCTTTATCTCTTAAGATTTGAGATATATTGATGAAAAATAGTAGATTGATAATTGTTGAACATTATAGTTGGAAAATTAGTAGAGAAAAAATATTACAAATAAATAATTACAGAAGTACCATTATGGTAGGATTCTTCACGGTTAGTTTCAATTTTGATAATTGTTAAAAATTATAGTTAGAAATTAGTAGAGAAAAAATATTAGAAATAAATAATTACAAAAATATCATTGAGGTTTTTTTAGGGTTGCCCAGCGTTTCTTTCTTTTATATATAAGATATATAAATTAATTGCAATATTAATAATGGTGTGAAAAATATTATTGAGTATGTTTTGATTCAGCAAACGGATCATCTTTTTGTAGCAGCCTACGCACACGCAATTGGAGCTTTTCTTCTTTTCATTTATATTTTATTTTATTAAATAATTCACGAGATTTCAACTTTATTTTGTGTACCTAACCATTTCCCTTGTCTGCATCCATATAATTATTAGTTTATAATCCAACCTAAAATTCAATTAATAAAATTTAGGGTAAATTACAACCAACCCTGGAGGTACGGTCAAATTACGAAAACCCTCCTTTTGTTTGAGTAATTACAACTACCCCTTAACTATAAATCTTCTTACACGTCCACCCTTGTTGTTTCAAATTTAGTGGAATCTTCGATATGGAATATTATTACTTTTGCACCCACTTTATCCAATTCGAACTCCACATTTTGAAGCAAGATGATCATAATATGTGTTTTTTGGCTTGTATATATCAGATTGTGGTGCATCAAAAACTGTATTTTTACACACAACGAGTACAAACTAGACCACATTCCATGAAATCTAGATGAATATGTTTCGTTTGACACCATAAGGGTGTACGTGTAAGGAAAAATCATAGTTGAGAAGGTAGTTGTAAATACCCAAACTACATGGGGGTTTTCGTAATTTAACCATACCTCAGGGGTGGTTATAAATTACCCTAAAATTTATCATAAATTGCGGTGACCCTTGATATAAGGTGAAATTACGAAAAAAAAAAAATCATTTTATTTGGATAATTATAACCACGCCTCAACTATGGAACTTCTTACATGTCCATTATTATGGTGTCAAATTCAATAGAATTTTCTAAATTCTATAGAATGTTCTCTAGTTGTAATCGTTTTTTTGCAAAAATTCAGTTTATGATGTACAACAATCTGATATTTACAAGCAAACAGATACTTCTTACGATCATCTTGTTTCAAAATATGGATCTCGAATTGGGTAAAACGGATACAAACTGAAGAATAAACCACTAAATTTAAATACACAAAAGTAAACGTGTAAGAAAATTCATAATTGAAGAGATAATTGTAATTACCCAAACATAGCAAATTTGTTTTCTTATAATTTAACCTTAATTCAGGATAGTAACCATAATTTACCCTAACATTTATTTACTTGAGTCTACTAGTACATATAAACACTAAATAATATCAATAATTAATTTATCAATTGATATTGTTTTAACTTTCTAAACACGTGTGCACTGATCAGTCAATATTCTCAGAAAAAAATAATAATAAAAAAGATGGCTGGTAAAGTAAAGTAGGAAGAAATTAGAAAATAAAACAATTTATTAATAATTGAACCTAACATAAAACCAGCAGCCATCGTGCACGTTCCATGCATGGACTGGGAACTCCAATTAGCCGCCGTGGGGCCCACAAAAAGAGAATAAACTACTTTATTTATTCTTTTAAAATAATAATTTCGTTTAAATATGTATATTTTAAATTTGTCCTCATTTTAATTATTTAAATCCAAATTACTTTATTTCCTTTTTGTCCGGCTATTATTTTATATTTCTTTGGATCTATATTTTATTATTTGTCGCGTTTATCACAATCCCATGATCGCCAAATCTTGTAATGATTATTTCAATCTCAATTAGACAATAATAAGTAAGATCAACGGTTGATATGCAACATAAAGAAATAGAAAAGTATTTTTTGAAAAAGAAAAACTATATCGTATTCTGTAAGTAATAAGTTAAGTCAAAATAAGTAGGACTTTTTATATTTGTGATTGAGTTAATATATGAGCTTGGAAGTTAATTAATTAATTTAAAAATAGGGTAAAACTTGTGAATTAGGCCTCCACTTTATATTTATTTATTTTAATACGTTTTGGATTTCCCCTTTTCAAATACTATCATGTTATATATTTGATTATTTTCTACTGTTTTACAATAAATTATGTTCTTTTGAAGTTGTTTTCCACCGTTTAATTTTCATCGGTCGACAATTGTGCTACTCATCTAGAAATAAGTTGAACATGGTAAAAGGTAAAAGGTAGTTTAAGTAAAACAACTTTGTTTTACTTATCATATATAATTTCAAATTCCTTTGAAAAAGTGATGATTCAATTTTGCCTCAAATAGTAGATAACATAGATAATTACCATTACGATAATGTATGATACCGAATTTTGGTATTACTTTGTTAGGGTAATGGTAATAAAATTCATAACACCGAAATTTCGATAATGGTAGTGATTCAAGATGTTTGGTACGAGTGTCCTACCATACCCACCGACCACCACTACGTAGTCTGCGTATATCGTTAAAACCTTAAAGTGACATCAAATATAAGATTTTTCTTTTTTTTTTTTTTTTAATAAAGAGACACTTAAAAGGAAACGGGAGAGAATGTATCTCAATTCTGTACGATGACAGTATTTTAATTTTTTTCTCAAAAAAGAAAAAGAAAAACAATGTTTTATTTTCCAATGCCACAAAATTTGGTTGAAACTAAGTGGACCGAATTAATTGTAAAATCCATTTTAATTGGGCCTATCGTGTTGTTGGGCTGAGTGGATTGGGCTAGGTTTATGCTTAATTGTTGAATTCTTCCCAAAATCGGCGCGAGTGCATGCCTATCATTGATTCCGTATACGTTTTTACCAACTTTCCACTATTCTCGCGCAGTCGGGGCCATCATTTTTAGCTAATTAGTTGTTCGCCGTCTAATATTGCTCTAGACCATAGCCTCTATGATCTCGTATCTCTTCCCACTTCCCTATCGTCTCCGGTCATTCGAGCATTTAAAGTTGGTATCAGTGCATTTAGTGCACCTGTTTTGACATTGTCTGAGTCATTGCGGCACCCCTCCTAGCGCCCTATACTCAACTCCGATCTTGGTAATATACTTTCCTTCCTCGATCACTGTAGCGAGAAATTTTTTCGTAAATGGGTTATCTTCTTTGGGCCGTACCTATCGACCAGCCTTTGTGGACTGGATCTCTCGATAAATGCGCTTACAGAGCCCTTCACTGTCCGAATCAAATACATTATGAATAAAAAAACTCACAATTCATCTTCAATTTTTTTTGTACAAACACCACATAAATATCAAATATTTATAGTCATTTAATTTAAATTGCCATTTCTTCCAATCTATTGTCCATTGATTGGCTTGAAACAAGTTCACTAATTACCACGGTGCACCAATTTAAATTGAATTCAACTATGAATAAATAATGATTGGTGCTTATTTACATTTTCTATGAAGTACAATTTATGTTCGAAACCAATAATCACGAACTAACAATCCGAGCTCGTCGCACATAGTTTGACCAATGCAATTTAAATCTTTTTCTTTTATGAGATTTATGAATTATTGCACGATAATAAGGTTTATTATTAGTGAATACGTGTCCGCGGACTCATTTGACCAAAAAAAAAGGGGCCTTAAGATATAGGTCCCTGGTGACAAAACTTATTAGAACTAAATAACAAGTCCAATAAAACATTTGCTTCACATCCTTTATAAAATTCATTCCAAAAATACCCTTCCACTCACAAATTAGAAATTTGCATTTAGTAAATTCAAATTACATTTATCATTTTATTTGTTCTGCATTTAATAGTTTCATATTGGCGTTTTCTTTTATTTCTTCATTTTAATATTTATACACTATTATGAAACAAATCTTTTTTCTTTATTTTTCACATAATATTGAAAATTACAACAACAAAACATGCTAATTTTTTAATCCAATATACATATTTTCAATTTTTCTGCAGTAAACTGTGGTATACTACGGGATGCTATAGTGTACTACAATGTACAATATACTATGCTTTACTTTGGTTTACTATGACGTACTATCAAACCCTGGCCGCCAACAAATTGGTCAGCCCTAGCAGTCCAACGCAGCCGCCGCCGCCAAACCCTAGCGGTCGTAGAACAGTCACCGTCGAGCCGTTCTTGCCGTGTACGCAACTAAGCCCAATCCCCACAACTAGCCCTAGGCACCGCTCAAAATACAACGAAAAGATCTACGCCGACACACATCTCGCAAACCCTTCCCTGATGCAATCCCACTTCCACCATCCAAGACGAGCCTGGGACATCGGCGCCGCCGCCAAACCCTAGCGGTCGTAGACCAGTCACCATCGAGCCGTTCTTACTGTGTGCGCAACCAAACCCACACATACCATGAATTAATCCCCACAACCAGCCCTAGCCACCGATCAAAAAGCAACGAAAAGATCTAAACCGACACACATCTCGCCAACCCTTTTCTGATGCAATCGCCACTTCCACCGTCCAAGGCGAGCCTGTGACATCGCCGCCGCCGTGCAAAGACATCTGAATTAGCCACCAGGCCACCGTCGATTGCAGATTTATTGCTCCGCTATAAACTTTAAAAAAATCAGATCTACTAATTAAAGAGAAAAAAAAATAAAGCAAAAGAAAGAAAAGAACAGGAGTGAATGAGAAAGATTGGGGTAGGGAAAAATGATAGAGAAAGAGAGAGAAATTGTGAGAGAGGGAGAAAAGAAGTTGGGCGACGGAGAAAGCAATAGAGAAAGGGGAAGAAAGTGAGAAATAATAGAAGTGATTTTTTTATTAGTTATGTATTAAGGGTAGTTTTGGGTTTAAAAAATTTAAAAGGATATCTATTAATTTTTGTTTAGAACTAAGGATTTAATTAAAATTTTCTAGTTGAGCTTGTCTCCTACATCTAATTAGGTTTGGTTTGAGGGGTGTCATGCATATTACACCAAAAAAAAAAGGGAATTATAATTTATTTATTTTTTCCTTTTAAACTTCAATAAATCCTATTTTATAAAAATAAAATAATAAATATAAAAACGGAGCCGAGTATTTATAGGAGATTCTGTCAAACATTAGCTGGCTTTACAAATATTTGGATTTTCCCGCTACTTCCCTTCTCTCTCGTCACCGTTTCTTTTTCTCTCATTAAAACCCTAACTCCACAGTCGGTTACTTTCTCTCTCCTCCCCCCATATCTCTCTCTCTCTAAAACGTACATTATTTAATGTATCTATAGCTGCATTTTCCTTTTCCGGTTGTTTTATATACGTTTATTTTTTTTACGCTGTTCGATTGACGGTTACAGACTCGTCTCTGGGGGATTGCGAAGCTCGAATTCAGTTGTCGGTGGGTTGATTCCCATTCGTTTCCAACTGTTACGGCGGAGATACTGGCCGTAAGTGAAGTGGCTGATGGGAGCTAGGTGAATTCCCCCTCTTTTCAATGAGGTTTTTTTTTTCATTTATTGCTATTTACTTCATTTCTATGTTTTGCCCCTGTTCGTTTTTTAATTGATTTATTTATGGAAAGAAGCTTCATTTTTGCTTGTGGATTGGGTGGGTAGGATTTTGCAACGGTTCTGTTTGTGTTTCTTATAAAGATGTAGTCTTTCTTCTAACGTATTGTGTGCAATGGTGAATGAGTGAGGATTGAATTTTAGAGCTGCTTTGTAAGCCGGATCGGTAAATTCAATGAGTTTTTTCACTTTTGTCTTTGCGATTTTGTGTAGATTTTGTATGTTTGTTGACTCCTGATTTGATCTGGCCATATCTGTCTAATTTTGTTTTGATTTATTATATACGAATGGCAGCATTAGTAGATAGCTTATTGTTTGGTTCATTTCTTAATACACTGAGAAAACCTTTTTTTTTTTTTTTTTTTTTTTGGGACATAATTTTGATGTTTTCTTGTGATGGTCTATGCCTTTGGTTTGTGGTTAATTTGTTTGATTATGTGAGTTATACTTACAAATATACTGAATCCTTCCAATTCTTACAAAAGACATGGCTAGTTGCTACTGAGAAATATCTTATGTCATAATTTGCTTTTTACGAAGATTGGTTGGTGCATTGGCAAGGAAGTCATGGTCCACGTCAAGAAGGAAATATGTACACCAGAGTCAGCAAAAGAAGTCACATTTGTTTCATATTCCTCGTTTTCCGAGAGCAGTTCTGACATTGTCACTCCAAGATGTTCCTCTGATTCTGGGTATGTATCTCTTGTTTTATATTTTAACCCTGTGTTGTATCATCTCTAACATGTTGTTTTTCTTTCTTCTTCAATGTCAGTTTAAGTGTTCACAGACGTACTGGTCCTGCTAGACGTTCATCACAAGCTGGATGGACAATTGAAGAGGTACGTACATATCTAGTTTACAGACTTCAAGAATCAAATAATTTTCTCCGGTGAAACAAAATATCTCTCACTTCCCCCCTGATAAAGATTGTTTGCTTCTTTTGTTTGGTTTCCGGACTCTTGTCCAATTTATTGTGTTCGTGGAATCAACTGCATTGTACAACTTTCTGATTCTTTGAAGATCTGGATTTCTTTTTTTGGATTAGAAATCTGTTGTTTTTTCGATATATAATAGAATATTTGTGCTTGCTTTCAACATAGAAGTTTATTTGAGATAAAAGGCATAAATGTTGTTGTTGTTCTATAAACACTGTGATATAAATTTCCAATTTACCAGTTTGAGTTATTTTATGGGCTCTTATGTATCATTTTTTAGGCTGACAAACTGACTTTACCATAAAATTGGATTCTTTGAATACAAAAAGAGGACAAAACACGTTCCACAGTGTTTATTCTTGTTTTCTGTCAGATTCTTATATAATATTTTTAGCAGGATAAGCTGCTCACTGAATTGGTACAGCGGTTCAATGGGAGGAATTGGAAAAAAATAGGTGAGTGTGCATTTTCGTGTCACTATCTGCCCTTTTCGTATCATTTCTTTGATCAGGTGATTTGCAGTAGCTTTTGTAAATATTTGGTTATCCTTCCTTGACAGTGTCAATTTTCATTCATCAAATCGGGTTTTTTTTATGCTGGACACTAGTTAGGAAATGTCTTTCTTTCCCTCAGAGATTTTCAATATTCCAAATGGAGTTTGCTTTCTTCTTCATCTTTTCCCTTTGGGAGCATTCCTAATAACGTGGATAAAAGAACGATAATATTTGGTATCTCATATTCATGGACTATGCTGCCTTGTTTCCTATGAGTGTCAAAATAAGCTTCTAAGCTTCAAATAGCTTTAGTTTGATATCTCTTATCATGTCTTATCATATTCAGTCCAACATGTGCATGCGTGGTGGACATATCTATTTCGACCCGATCTGTTTCTTTTATTACTCTGAACTAGCTTTAGGATGTTGACTTATTGACATTTTCTCCTGTGCAGCTGAATACATGTCCGAAAGGACAGATGTCCAGTGTTTGCATCGTTGGCAAAAAGTTCTGGATCCAGGCCTGGTCAAAAGCCCTTGGACAAAAGAGGTAAATACTGTTAGTTGGTGTGTGTCGTGCCTGTAACCATTCGTATTCAAGTATCTCTGTCTTTTTCTGAAACTTTAGGAGGATGATCGTATTACTGAGTTAGTTGCGGAGTTTGGTTCTAAGAAATGGGCAGCTATTGCAAAGTTTTTACCTGGTCGAATTGGCAAGCAGTGCCGAGAAAGGTGAGATATACTCGCTTTATTAAATTCTTCATGAATTTTAAAATATTACTCTCCCAGGTTACTTGGTAAAAGTGAGACCCTACCTTAAGATTTCTCAAATTAGCTTATGAGCTTGTCTTTTATTTACTTGCTAGCAGTTTACGAGGTCATTTTGGCAAGCACGAATAGGAAGGGTGGGGTGATGCATTAGCTTCACATATAATTTCCAAATTTTCAAATGCAGTAGGGTTGGATAGGTTATCAAAGATATGTTTTAAATAGCTTCCTTGTTTAGTTGTTGAATAGATTTTTTTATTTAGATTCATTCCTTCTTGTGAACTATGGAAAGCATTGAGGTTAATTTTGCTGTATGTTTGGTGATTGAAACTGTTCTGTTACGTATTCGATGTTCTAATAACAAAGTGTAAATCTTTTTTGTCGTCTGAAGATATGCTCTACATAATTGTACAGGTGGCATAATCACCTGGATCCAGCAATTAGAAAAGATCCATGGACTAAAGAGGAGGAAGCAATTCTAACTCACTACCATCAAGTTCTTGGTAATAAATGGGCAGAAATTGCAAAGTATCTACCCGGAAGGTATCTATTTTAGAGTTTCATTTCCACACGATAAAAATAGCTGGAATATCTACAGAAAAATTATGATCTATTATTGTTTAATTGGGTTGGTTGGCTAGTCCTAGTCACACTTTTCTTCTTCTCGTTTTTACCCACTCTCATTATTTACTAATCTAATTTTCGCATTGACAGGACTGACAATGCTATAAAAAACCACTGGCATTGCTCGGTGAAGAAGAGACCTGATTTAAATTTGCCTCGTGTCTCTGCGCCAGAATTGCAAGGAAATACATCTGTTCATATCTGCAAAGCTGAAGAAAAAGTGCAACCCAAACGCTCGGCCCAGAAAAGGGTCCCTCAGAACACCGGTGGTACCTGTTCAACAAACTTTGCCAATTTTTTTGGGGAAAATTTCGAGACAAAACCCGTTTTCTTGGGTATTGGCAGATCATCTGAGGGAGTGAGGAATCTAATCGAGCACCCAAATCAAAATCAGTGTGACAGATCTTCTCTCATTACAAGTCACAGTTATACCAAACCAAAAACCAACTCATTGAATAATACCATGGATCCTTGCTTTTACGTCAAAACAGGTCATGCTAATCTTGATGTTCCTCCAATTACACATGCAAGAACATTGGATTCTCCTAATAGGTCTAGGTATAATCCATGTGGAAACGACGACATGTCTGATTGCTCACCTATCGGCACCCTTTTGAGTTTGTCACTGTGTGGATCTACTGACGAGAGTCAACGAGCAGGGAAAAGATTAAAATTTTATGAGCCATCCCAGTTAACTCCGTTAGATGTTAAAAATGTCAACAAAAACAACGAGCTTGCTAATTCCTATCCCAGTAGTAACCTGTCATTGAGTATCTCTAGTAATGATTGTAGCCCCGAACTTATGCTGAAGACTTCGGCTATGAGTTACAGAAATACGCCTTCAATCATAAGAAAGAAATTTGTTACAGAAGCTGAACAGGCGATTGACTTTAGTAGCCTCAGCACGCCTCCATCTGTTATTTCACTTCAGCGTGCTTCTGGCGGTGAAGATGTGAATGCTTTAAGCTTGATGAGTGAGAAAAGTTGCTTGCATTCGAAGCTCACGTCGTCTATTAGTGGACAACCTCTGGAAAGACGTCTGGAATATGCGTTTGATTTGGAGTGGGATTCAGCCACTGGTAGACGTTGTACTCCTGGCTCTAAAAGTGGTGCTAAATTTGATGCCAAGATGATGTTGACTCCATGAAGAAGTTTGGTGAGTCAGTTCAATACTCCGTTGAAGTTATTTATTTATTTATTTATTTTCACTACCTTCTTAAGAGTTTCGCTTTCTTTCACTTTCATCTCTGTCAGCTCTGTAAATTTATTTATTTTTGTTTCATTTTTATCAGGTGTCGTACAAACTATCATTATAGAGCAGATAGACCATCTTGCATGCGCAATAATAAAGGTACGTCGTATCATTTCTTTTATTACTTGCGTGAAAAAAATAATCGAGCTGCAGACATTTTCAAGAATTCGTTATTTTATTGTCACACGACAAGAAACTATACAGATATTTTGTTTTTGTTAGAACAAAACTCTTGTTTTATATTGTGACATAACTCGTGTTTATAACCTTTTTTCAGCTATATATATATCAAAGGAGGCGATGAACATAATAAGAGTCGAGACTTGGTGCCGTATACATGAATTTTGAAGTGTTTCATACGAGAGCATTTCTCTAAATAATTCCTGAATGCGTAAGATTCCAGGAGGGTGATCTAATGACTGTATACAGGTTGCTTGTAATTAAACAACAATAAGAACATCTAGTCATTATTATAATAGTCAAAATAATCTTTCGTGGGTTTTCGATAATTAAACTTGACATTTTTTATGCCAAATGTTTGAATGCTGTTTAATTTGCTTATATGTTTGATAGAACTGATGCAAGTTTGCAATTTCTTTATAAAAACAAGAAGGAATATAAAACTATGTAACAAAATAAAAGAAGATAGCTATGGTAGAGACATTGGATGTATAAAAATGGCCAGTTTTAGTCGAAATTAGTATGTTAGAAAAAAAAAGGTCGAAATTCGGCGACGCTTTAGCCTCGTCTGTTTGTTCGAAAATATTACCAATCAATTGTTATGAGAGTTGGTGACCAACTTTAATTGTTAAAGCCAATGGGTTGACACAACTCTCTTCTATTAGTTACTCATTTAGAATAAGACATGAATTTTTTATTGCCAGAAAATAGAAGAACAATTGCCTAGAAAATTGGCACAATTTAATACCAACTTTTTTTCTTAATTTCTTGTTTTGGAGAAACCGTTGACCCTCCTTGTTAGATAAGATAACTGATAATTCACCAAACCAATCTTTACAAAAAGAAAGAAAAATGCAAAGGAAAAACAAATGAAACAAGACAGACAAAACTACCAGTATACTAGCAGAACTGTAGATTAATCAATGTCCAGTGCCGCCGTTTCGCCCTTCTCGCAGGCACAGCCACCGCCGCCAACACCATCACCGCTCTCGTTTTCAGTTACTTCGTCACAGCCTCCATTTCTCACAGCCAATCTCTTCCTCCGCTTTCTCACACTCGTCCTCTCTGCCGCCACTCTTCTCTCACTCGCTGCAACTTCACCGACAAACTCAACGCTCAAGAAACACTCCACCACTTTCTGGGATTACTCCCAACTCGTGTAAGAAATCAACAAAAAACTGAAAGTAGATAAAAAAATCATGTCTTTGAACACATACACATATTCTTCTTGGTTCTAACAATTTCCCCACACAGATACTGCTTCACAGCCAACATACTCGTATTCGTTTACACGCTCTTTCAGCTCTTCAAAGGTATCTGCGACATCGCCCACAGAGGTATCTTCATCTCAGACAAAGCATCTGATTACATCAGCTTTATTCTTGACCAGGTAACTCACTAACTCTACTCTACTCGTGCCCGTGAATTCCTAATAAAAAGAACAAAAATAAAAATTAAAAAAATACACACCTTATTGCTGGTTGACAGTTGGCAGGATACCTCCTCGTTTCAGCATCTTCTGTAGCTGTACAAGCCATACAACAGATGCACAACGGTATTCCACTTCGAAAGGCAGCTATAGTCTCTCTATGCACGTCTTTCGCTTCGTTCGTAGTTGTTGCAGCTAGTGCACTCTTATCAGGCTACAGATTTTGTAAGAGGATCATATGGTAATAATGTATGGTTAAAACCAAAAAAAACAGTTCTACTGAATCGAAATAAATTTGCACCTCAAGAAAATGTTCAAACTACACAAGTACTAGAAAACGGCACAATTATATATTAGCTATTAAATTTAATACGTTGGAGTAATTAAGAAGCTTAAAAAAAGCTCGTTTTCTCCACAAAAAAAGAAAGCACTGAGCGACATAGTAAGTAAAATCTAGTGTTTTTCATCTTCACCAATGACTAATTTGCCCTCGACGAAATCGCAAGACTGAATAACAACCCCAAGCTGCTTTTGCATCTTCTTCGCAATGAACACTTCAGATTCCTCACATATGGTGACCACAGTTCCTACTCTGCCAAGCCGCCCTGTTCTTCCCGCACGGTGAGCATAATGAGTCGAATCAGTAGGCAACCCCAAATTAACCACAAGATCGCATTCTGGTATATCCAACCCTCTAGCCGAAAGCTCATTGGTCAGCAACACCCTCACATCTCCATTTCTGAACTTCTTCAAGATAGTCGATCTCGAAAGCTTGCTAAGATCTCCGTGCAGCTCCGCAGCTTTCATCCCACGAGCCTCCAGCTTAAATACCGCGTCTTTTAGTTGCCTCGTGTTGTTCATGAAAGCTATCACGCAATTCGAATCGAGCGCGTGCACACACCTTCTCAGCATGTCAACCTTGTGCTGTATTCTTGCAACGGTGTAATAGTGCGTCAGAGAAGGTGGAAGGCTCTGAACTGGAGCCTGAGCCTGAGCCTGCGCATTATTTGAAACGGGATTTTCATCAGAAGCCGACACTTGTGACCGCCCGAATCGTGGAGGAGGAGCAGGTATGGATTCGAGCGGGACAATGCTTTTGGCTTGGACAAGAAGGGGGTCGCAGCCCCAACTCCTAGCCGCTCGAATAACCGAAAACGGAACCGTTGCAGACACCATTATAGTCCTACGCTCGGATCGCCTGGCTTTAGGATCATTCGCTACCTTTGGATTTGCACCGGATCTTTTACCAACATGCTCCAATATACGATGAATATCCTCCCTAAAATTAAATGCAAGAAGTTCATCCACCTCATCCAAAACCAAGTAACGGCAGTTATGAGTACGAAGCTTCCCCATCGAACTCATTTCCGCAATCCGACCGGGCGTACCGACAACAATCACTGGTTTATTCTTTTTAAGCGCCTCTTCTTGCCTTGACTTGTTTGCACCTCCAACGAGTTGTTGTACGAATCTCTTATCTACTGGTCCAAGAATCTTTTCGATTTCTCTCACAATCTGCATTGCGAGTTCTCTAGATGGGGCCACAACCATTGCCTCTATATCGGAGCTGGTTCTTGGTTCAATTTCCTTCTTGAGTGGGCCCACTTCGGAGAGTATAGGAAGAAGATACGCCAGTGTTTTTCCGGAACCTGTGTAGGATTGGATCACTACATCACGATCCATGAGTATTGCAGGGATAGCTGCTGCCTGAACATCAGTTGGAACTTTATAGCCTTCATACTCTAACCTGTCAACTAGTGAAGGAGGAAGGCCGAGCTCAGAAAAAGACTCGGCTGCAAATGGACCCAATGTTGCTGCAATGTCCACTCTCTCCTCCTTCTTAACTGGAATTGTTTCTCTTCTAAGGCCAACTTTCTTTTCTCTTTTTTGAGGGAACTCGATTGTGGAAATTCCTTGCTTGAGTTTGTTTTTCTCGTTTCCCTCTATCGTCCGTCTTTCGCTCTTGAAACCGAGAGTTGCAAGAGTGAGAGGCTGGCTCTCGTTAGTAACCCGAGTTAGAAACCGCACACTGCCGTACCGTGGAGCTACTACGCGTGAAAATCCGTAGAATTTTCCAGACGATAAAGTATCGGCAACGAAAAGAAGCACTCTGGTTGCAGCTAAAGCAGGCATTTTTAGTTTTTTTCTTTTCGTGAGAGTTCAATCGGCGGTGAAAAATCAACTCCTTCCAGTTTCAGCTATACGAAAAAACTGACCGAAGTTCTTGAAAAATGGCGAAATTAGATTTGCATACTCGATTCTCAGAGCATCATATGTGCGGAGTCAATCTCTGCTCTTGCTCTGAAATCAAGATAGAGAAAAACAGATAAAGCAAAACACTGAAACGCAAATCTTCAATCAGGACAAAGGGAGAAACTAATTGGAACATAATCCAATCAGAGCATTTATTTACTCATAGAGTTTCAGGAAATTCAGAGGTTGAAAATACATTAATTTGTTATTCAGGCATTTTATCAAACAACTAAACTACAAGCCGCACTGCATAAGTCACTCATAACATTTGAGCAGTACATCTATGTGTTCCCAAACGTAAATGCGTACGAGGGAGTGAACCTCTATGCGCGTCAGTGTGTGGATTGTGTGTGTGTGAGAGAGAGAGAGAGAGAGAGAGAGAGAGGAGAGAGAAACCTTCAATAGACGATGGCACAAATAGCGGTAGCAGTGAAGAGATGGGAGGGCAGAGCGGAAGAGATAAACCCCGATTATTAATTTGCACTAAGGCCCCTAAACTTTGTTGCATTTAAACAAATGGTGCAAAATATTATTGTTCGTTGACGTTAAGGACATCGGACACCAATCCAATTTGAACTAGCATTTTGAAAAAGGGTAAATTACACCCCTGATGTATGATAAAATTACGAAAATCCCCCTCTTGTTTGGGTAATTACAACTACCCCTTTGAACTATAAATTTTCTTACACGTCTACCCTTGCGGTTTCAAATTTAGTGCAATCTTCTTGATTTTATGGAATATTATCCCTTTTGTACCCATTTTATACCATTCGAGCTCCACATTTAGAAGCAAAATGATCATAAAATGTGCTTTTTTGCTTTTGTATATATTAGATTGTAGCGCATCATAAACTGTATTTTTATACAGAAATTGAGTACAAACTAGAACGCATTCCACGAAATCTAGATGATTATATTGAATTTGACATCATAAGGGTGGAGGTGTAAGAAGATTCATAGTTGAGGGTTGTAGATGTAATTATCCAAACAATAGGAGAATTTTCATAATTTGACCATATCTCAAGGTGTCATTGTAATTTACCTTTTTTCAAAATATTTGAAATGTATATATTTTTCTGGAAAATGAAAAAGTAATTCCAATTCCATCGAAAACAAATGTAGGCAATTACTTAATATCATAATATTCGATATTTATGATATATGAAAGTTTCGTAATGTTACCGTACCAAGAAATACATTATATCGTTGTTCCCATTTGCAGAGAAACTAACGAAGTTCTTCCCATCACATCTTTATGGTTCGAATAAGCTATCGACATTGCTTTAATTACGAGGATGAAATCAAGGGTAGCATAGTTGCAAGAATGACTAAAAAGATTAGTGAAATAATCCTTAGCAAATGAAAATTCCAGCTGAATACTTTAATCGCAACTAAAATTATGTATCATTTTTGCTAATACATATACACTTTTAGCTATTTTTCCCCACTATTACTTTATTTATGACAATCCCTTAGATGAAAACAATCATATGCAATATATTAATATTAATTTCTTAATATTTGAAACTCATGTTCTTAATTATAATTTTCTCTTAATTAATACTCCCAATATTCTAATTCGGGCTATATGACATCAGCATTCTTATCCATTACACTCCCATAATCCTCGTGACACGTAGATAAATAAGGAATTCAATTAAGAAAGTGGAAAAAGAAAATATAATAATCCACTGCCGCAGCTGTAATTGAATTCCTTTGGTTTTGTACGCTTTGAGACGTTGTTCAAGACTAAAGTCAACCTTTTCAATCAAAGGTACAACACTAACAATGCACAAGTTGCAGATTACTCAACAAGGCGCGACCACACTGAATAATAACCCTACGAAGAAGACCTTCTGGTACCTTCATCGTGGGACCCACTTGGCCCATTTTCCTTCTCGAACTTCCGGCAAAGTTCTATTCTCCCATTATTAATAAATTAAATCACCTTTTTTTAATATTTCTTTTTTCGTTTTTTTTTTTTTTTAATCAACGGATTTTTCGTAGAGCTTCTCTCTGGAAGAACGTTCTAGAAACATACCACCCCCACCATCACCACCAGCCATTCTCTCACCTCCACTGTGTGTATCTACGTGTTCTTCAGATTTTCGTCCGTCTGTCGTCATTCTTCTGCCGTACTTTTTCATCAACTCTTCTCAAAATCGAAAAGCTGATATTTATCAGCGATTGAATCAGCAGCAACAACAATTGAAGCTCTTTTTTCGTAATCGTCTTCGCTTTTTTTTTTTTTGGCTCAGGTAAATCCAGATTTGTTATATGTATATATATAGGGGATCACTATTTCAAATACTAACTTTTGCTTACTTGAATACCAAAAAAATAAAAAATAAATAATTAATTGTAAATTACTTTAATGCCCTTAATGAAAATTAAAACCAAAAAATATTACAAATACTATTTTTCTTTCTTAAATACCAAATAATCAAAAACCTAAAAAAAATATTTATCTCCTCACTCACAAACCCCTCACCTCCTCCACCTCCTTCTTCTTCCTCCCCAAAAACCCTCCTAAAAAACCTCAAAACAAAAGAAATCAAAACCTTACACAACTTGCAAAATGGCGTCAAATGACAATAGAATGGTAGTTTACGAGCAATGAGAACCCATTCAAGTATATATTCATGTATTTTTTGAGCTAAAACATCGATTTTGAATTTTTTTTTTTTTTAAAACTCGCCATGTATTTTCGACACATACAGGTCGAAAATACCCTTATTTTTCGACATGTATGTGTCGAAAACATAACAATTCATATTTTATTAAGTTTCGACACCTAAGTGTCGAATTTTGATACAATTTTCGACACCTAAGTGTCGAAAATTACCCATATTTTCGACACTTATGTGTCGAAAAAAAAAAAAAAAAATTACACAGATCTAATTTGACAGGTAGCTGTCGAAAATTGGTTGAATATTCGACAGTTAGCTGTCGAAAACTCATCCAAATTTCGACAGCTATCTGTCGAATTATCAAAAATCCCATTTCATTCACATTTTTCGACAACTATATGTCGATTTTTGATGAATTTTCGACATCAAGCTGTCGAAAATTCATCAAAAGTCGACATATACAGGTCGAAAATTGTGAACGAAGAACCAACCCACGAATCTCAAATCAATGCTCGAATCGACTGAAATTAGATGCACCCATTACTAATTAACGATCATTTCTACCTAAAACAATCAAATCCTAATTACCCATATCAAACAATCAAATCCTAAGTAAATATTAAAGAAAAAAAATTCGAAAAAAATTATTACTTGGATGAATGAAACCGGAACGAAGAAGCGGCGGCGGGTTGATAACAATAGACGAAGAAGCGGCGGCGGCGGCGGCGGCGGCGGGGGTTGAAGAGGGTTGGAGTTTTTTTTTTTACAACAAAGGGATTTTTTTCTTTTTTTTTTATTTGGTTTTTGATTAGGTAATTTCTAATAAAATTTGATATAATTGATATTTTGTATGAAAGGGTGTTTTTGTAATTTTCTTTTTATTTTGGTTTTAAAGTAAGAAAAAACTTATAAATATGTACTCAATTGTGGTTTTCAACTTGGTAGTATTTAACTAAGCAAAAATTAGTATTCAAAATAGTTGCCCCCATATATATATTATATAACAATTTTTTCATGAACTTGAAATTATTCCGGAAGCTTTGGATCCGGCGATTTGAATTGTTATTATCGGAAGAGAATTCGATTATTTCGTATTTTTTAGAAATTTGATCTGATGCAATTTTGTGTTCAGATGATTCGTTGATTCGAATTAATTTCATTTGAATCGTTTGGTTTTGATGTGGAAGACTGAATTTGTTTTTTTTTTTTTTTTTGATTTTTAAATCAGCGGCGTTGTGTTTATGCGACATGAGCAGCGAGGGTACGACCGGCGGCGGCGGCGGCGGCGGCGGGAGTAGCGGAGGAGAATCGCACAGGTCAGTTCCGACGCCGTTTTTGACGAAAACATATCAGCTTGTGGAAGATCCCAGCATTGATGATTTGATCTCGTGGAATGAAGATGGAACAACCTTCATCGTATGGCGGCCGGCGGAATTTGCTCGAGATTTGCTGCCTAAATATTTCAAGCATAATAATTTCTCCAGTTTTGTTCGTCAACTCAACACCTATGTAATTTTTTTTTCTTCTTCCATCTGTAATTGATTTAACATTTTCCGTAGAGAATTAGCAATTGGTGAATATTAGATTAATTGATGTTTTTTTGGTATGGAATTTTGCAGGGATTTCGGAAAGTAGTTCCAGATAGGTGGGAATTCGCGAACGACGGATTCAAAAGGGGGGAAAAATCGTTGCTCAGAGACATCCAGCGTCGGAAAATCTCCGCCGGCGCCGGCGCCGGCACGCCGCTGAACGCGGCCGTAATTGCCAATGCACAGTCGGTGACGGTCGCACTGGCGCCGGCCGCGGCCATCCAAATATCGCCGGCGAATTCCGGCGACGAGCAGGTTCTCTCGTCCAATTCATCGCCGGCGGCCATCGCAGTAGTTACCGCCGCCGCTCCGCTGCGAGCGTGCTCGTCGACGACGACGGCGGAGATATTGGAAGAGAACGAGAGGTTGAGGAGAGAGAATGCCCAGCTGAGTCAGGAACTGAGTCGGTTGAAGAGTTTGTGCGGCAACATATTCACCATGATGTCGAGCTACGCAACAAATCAAGGTGAAAGGGCGTCGCCGGAGGGGAGATCGGCTGAGTTGACGCCGGAAGCGGAGACCACGGCGGCGGAGGAGGACGGATGCGCCGCCGTGAACGAGGAGGTTGAGGAGATGTGCCCGAGGATATTCGGAGTCCCGATCGGCGTGAAGCGGCTGAAGAAAAGCAGCGACGATCAGATCCATCCACGTGGATTTGATTGCAAATCAGAGCCGTCGGATCCGGGGAGTAGTCAAGAATTTGATGACAAAATGTGAACTGAAAATGCAAACACGTGTTTGAGAAAGGTTGTAATCTGTACTCAATTAACGTACACCCACTAACTTTTTTAACATGTTTTTTGTCATAAATCTAATTGTTAAATTATAAAAGGTGCTAACGTGTTTTAATTTTACTAGTATCCAATTTTGAGTTCACTTGAATTGATTTTCTAATTCAATTTAAATCAAATAGGATGTCAAGAGAAAATTATGTGTAGTAAGCATCAAGAAGAATATTTCAAAAATTTACTCCAAATCTGATTTTGACCATCTTGCCGAAAGTTCAAAAATTGAATCTGTGTCCCTTTGAATTGACTTTCTTACTCAAATTTGATTTAGTGAGAAAGTTGTGCATAGTTTTAGATCTACGGTGATTGTAATTTTGAAACAATATCTTGCATTTCTTATTTGATCTCGCAATTTAGTACGCGACCTAGTTTCCTTTTATAAATTATCAAAAGAAAAGTTATCTTTTATAGTTATCTCCTTGGTTCGTCGGAAAAGACATTTGAAGAGGAGCTTTATGTCGGAGTTGGGGTTTTCTCAAGATAGTTATTGAAAGAGAATGTGTGTCGTTTGTGCATATTTCTGAATTAATAAAACTCTCTTCAGCCAGTTATATATATAGGGATAGGGTTTCCCGAGTCCACCGTTAGTATGTCTCCCCTTTTCCTAATCATAAGATATATTTTCTTTAAATAAAAAGATTTTGCTTATTCGAAACCCCTATTTTACGGGCCATTCTAATGTTATGAGATTGGATATATGCGAGATCTTGATAATTTTTTCGTTGAATAAACTGTTTAAAGGTTCATTGATAAACTATTACATCTTATTTTTAGAATTATTGTTTTAAATTGTTTGAAAGATGAGCTAGTAAGCTACTTTTAGTAATATAAATTTTTAAACAAAAAGATGGGGACACATGTAATTACCAAAACAAAAACTAGAAGAAAATTGCTTGCTACATGAAGACAAGATCCATGAAGAAGAAGTCAATTAATTGCAATGTAGTCCTTCCAGTTTATGTACATAAATTAGCTTGAGCTTTATTTATCATCTTTTCGGATTTTTTATGTGCACCGTTTCCAAGTTCAGAGTATATATATATACAGTTAAACATCTATAAATTAATACAGTTCGTACCATCACAATTCCATTCATTTAGCGAAATATTAACTTATCGATTACTTAATACATTATTATATTGTACATTAATTAATAATTTATTAATTTATGAAATTATTTTTATTACTATTTTCAATAAATACATTTTTATTTAATTTAGTACGTGTATATTATTCATTGTATCATTAGTTTAATGCACTATAGAGCCCGTTACACGACTGGAAGCTCTTAAAGCAGCAATGATATTGAACAATTTCAGGTTGAGTCATGCAAAAGTTAATAGCCGAAGTTCTAACCATACTAAGAAAAGTGAGGCACGAGATTGATCGTAATGTGAACTTCAACAAGAAACAAACGAGAATGAACTTATAATTCTAGTAAACCTTCATAGATCTATCAAATATGTATTGTAACATGTAATTTACGAATTATTAATCTATATAGTATATGGGGCTTCCTAAATCTTTCGAATGTGTATTATCTTATAAATTTAGCAAATTAGTAATTTAGCACGTTGTCCTCAAGTCGGGACCGGAAAAATGTATTAGTTAAACAGGTTATTAATTTATCGAGGTTCTACTGTATAATGGCTCTTTGATATAACCCATCAATACTTTTTTTAATAGGAAGAGGCTTAACCTATTTTGCACAATTTAAGAAAAACTCCTTCATAATTTGAGCAACCCATTTTTCCAATTATGCCCCTACTATCTCATCAGCAATATCATGAATTATGTCCTGTCAACTCATCAGCCGTTTTTTTTTTGTATTATTTTTTTAATTTTATTTAATTTTTTAATTTATTTTTCCTTTATATTTTTTTCATTTTTTTTTTATTTTTTTTCTTTATCGGGTATATTAATTGACAATAAAATATCATCATAGTCGGTTAAGGAACTGACTACTAAAAATAAATAAAACCACAACTATGTAAAAACGAAAATCAAAATTTTCTTACATAACAAATAATATACATAAATTGTAATTGATTTACACAACTCGGAATCAATACACAAAAAAAAATAAAAAAAATCAGGTGACCTTAATCGACTACCAAAACAGTCGATTAACACTTTAATCGACTACCAGAGCGTAGTCGATTAACTTAATCGTCTACCAAAAAAACAAACAGTTGATTCAGGGTCCAGCCTGCGCAAATTTCTCTATTCGCGACATCCTCCTCCTAATCTACTAAAAAGCCATAGATCTGGTCCAGCCTGCGCAAAGTTCTCTATTCGCGCCATCCTCCGCCTAATCTACTAAAAAACCATAGATCTGCTTCTCATCGTCACTACACCGCCGCTACGCCACACCATCACTACCATACTTCCGTATTTTGACGGTCTTTAATGACAAATAAAGAAAATTACAACCCGCACCACCAACCCAAACAAAACCACCACCATCAAAACCACAAAAAAAAAAAGCCCCCCCAACCCAATTTTCTTCATGACCACCGCCATACCCAAAAAGAGTCAGCAAAATTAAATAAAAATTCATAACATGCGGCGACGAAGAAGAAATCTTCGCAAACTCGAGAAACTGTGAGTAAGGGGAACGCTACTTGGGGTATTCACGAGCGCGAAATCCTCCGCCGCGTCGGCGCTATAGTCTCCACTGTGGATTTCCAGAAGTTGTTCGTGATTTAGGACATGGTGGTGGCGGAGGGGGAGAAAGTGGTCTGAGATCTGTTGAGAAGAGAAGCGAGAGAAACGGCACAAATGAAAAAAAAAAGGTCTTGAAAAAAGATAAATAATTATGGTTAATATAATTATAATAAAATAAGGGTAGTTTTGAATTATGAAAATATCATTTGAGTAGAATATTAAATAAAGGGGATTTTTCTACTTATTTTTTGGAGGGGGTGTTTCCTTACCTACATTTCCTAGATTGGGGGTTCCTGCTAATTTTCTCATATATATGAATGGATAAATTACAAACACCGCCTAAGGTATGGTCAAATTACAAAAAATCTCGCATGTATGGATAATTACATTTATTCTCCTCAACTATGAATTTTCCTACATCTCCACCCTTATAGTGTCAAATTCAACATAATCTTATAGATTTCGTGGAATGTTCTCTAGTTTGTACTCGTTTTGTGCAAAAATACAGTTTCAGATGCACCACAATCTGATATATATACAAGCCAAAAAACACATCTTATGATCATCTTGCTTCAAAATGTGGAGCTCGAATACGATAAAACGGGTACAAAATTGAGGATATTCCATATAATATAGAAGATTCCACTAAATTTGAAATCACAAGGGTGGACATGATAAGAAGATTTAGAGTCGAGGGAGTGTTGTAATTACCCAAACATATGAGGGATTTTATCATAACTTGACCATAACTCAAGGGCTTGGTCGTAATTTACTATATATATATATAGTAAAAGAGGGGGAGAGAGAGTTGCAGATGTTCAGGTTGTCCTTTGACCTTTTCTTTAGGCTGTCGTACGATGTAATTAGCAGACACAAATTAAAATCAATATTTTTATTTGAATTATTTTATTTATTTATATATATATTTTACCACTCTTAGCTTTCACCTTTTTCATTTATATATGCTCTTATTTTTTCTTATCTGCTGAAATACGCCTGCTA